TGGCTTAGGCAATAGTTTTTGAGATGATAACAAAAGCACAAGCCTTAAAGGAAGAAGAAGAAGAAGAAGAGGAAGAAGAAAAAAAAAATATATATATATATGTATATATAGGAGACAAAGAAATGAAAAACATTTTGTGCTTCAAAGGACACCATCAGTATGTCCTCCCGAGTGGCATCAGTGGTAAAGAACCTACCTGCTAATGCAGGAGGCATAAGAAATGCAGGTTTGATCCCTGGGTTGGGAAGATTCTCTGGAGGAGGGCATTGCAAAGGACACCAGGAAGGAAGTGAAGACAGCCCACAGAATGGGGAGAAAATTCTTAGAAATCCTAAATCTGATAAAGGACTTACGTCTAGACCCCATAAAGAACTCATATCTCAAAAAGGCTGCCTAATGAAAAAATGGACATAAATGTGCATAGACACTTCTGCACAGAAGATATACAAATGGACAACAAGCCCATGAAAAGATGCTTAATGTCATCAGCCATCAGGGGGATGAAAAGCGAAATCACAGTAAGAAACCACCTCGGACTTCCCTGCTGGTCCAGTGGTTACGAATCACCCTGACAACGCAGGGTACCCAGGTTCGATCCCTGATCTGGGAAGATGCCACGTGCCGTGGAGCAACTCAGTCCACGCACCACAGTCCAGAGCCTGGGCTCGGAAACAAGAGAAGCCACCACAGTGAGAAGCCCGCACCCTGCAAAGAAAAGTGGCCCCTGCCCTCCACAGCCAGAGACGACGCAGCGCAACCAAAGGAAAGAAGCTGCCTCACAGGCACTGCAGATGCCTGGCGTCAAAAAGAAAAAGGTTCTGTGCAGAACACGGAGAAACAGATCAGAACCCTCATGCGCTACTGGTGGGAAGGCAAAACGGTGCAGCTGCAGCGGCAGACAGGCTTGAGCCTCTTCCACGGAGGAGACACAGAGCTGCCTATGACCCAGCAACTCCACTTCCGGATACGTACCCGCGAGAAAACGCGTGTCCACGCAGAAGCTTGTTACAGGGACGCTCGCAACAGGCGCGCGCTCATCAGCTGACGAGGGACAGAGTGTGGTGGTGCTCGGTGCTAGGTCGTGGCCGACTCTGAGAGCCCGTGAACTGCAGCACCCCCGGCTTCCCTGTCTGTCACGAGCTTCCCTAAAACGGAATGTTACTCAGCAGTAAAAAGAACTGAAGCGCTGACACACGCTACAACCTGAAGGAACCTTAAAAAACCTTAGGCTAAGTGAAAGAAGCCCGTCACAAAATACCAGCTAGTGCAGGATTCCTTGTGTGTAAAATGTCCAGAATAGGCAAATCTAGAGACAGAAAGTACATCTGTGGTTGCCAAGGGCAGGGGGTGGGGGTGGAGAGGGGAGGAGAGTGAATTTCAACAGGTATGGGTTTTGCAGAGGAATAAAAATGTCCTAAAATTGATTCTGGCCAATGGCTTTACAATTCTGAACGTGCTAAGACCACTGAGTTGTAGATTTTAAATGTTACTTAACCGTGTCCCAATAAACCTGTTACCTAAAATAACACGTGTCCACAAGCGTACATCCTACATTTGTCTTTAATATCCATGTAGAGGTATGCAGTATCAGTATATTTAAAAGTTTTACCTGCATGATATCACATCTTCCAGTATCTTATTTTTTCAGTCACAACTACATTTCAGATTAACCCATTTTATAAACTCATGCTGGGAAGGACTGTAGGCAAAAGGAGAAGAGGGTGGCAGAGGATGAGATGGTTGGATGGCATCACTGACTCAGTGGACACGAACATGAGCAAACTCAGGGAGGTACTGAAGGACAGAGGAGCCTGGCGTGCTGCAGTCCGTGGGATCACAGAGTTGCACATGACTTAGTGACTCAACAACAAAACTGCAGGAATAAAAACTTTAACTGTTCGATCCTAAACTGTACCAAAGGAAAAGCTTCCCCTGATCCCATGTAGCCTGCCAGCTGCCCCATGCCCCCTTCAGAATCCGACTTCTCAAGTTTCCACCTGTCAGCTTCCACTTCCTTCCACATACACGCCTCTACTCAGGCTGCGCTGACGCTGCTGGCCAAGGTCACCATCAACCTCTGCGTTACCACAAACACCGAATTTCAACCTGCAACGCACAATGCTTTCCCAACATATCTAAATTGGGCTGTTTCATGGTTCTCGGCGTCTGGTCGTTTTAAGTGCTAGCACCTTTGCCTTAATACCAAAGAGACCAGCGATTCCTGTAACGGGGCACCTGACATGCGAGGAAACAGTGCAGGGGGCAGGCCTGTCGTCTCCGTGTTCCTGCAGCCGTCTGGGCCCCCGCTGACCTCAGCCCTCGAGAGGTTTCGTCTCCCCTCGTGTCCCCCACCACCTGCGCATACCTACGTGTCCTTTGCTGGTTCACACAAAGGACACTCAAGCTCCCCGCAGCCGCCAGCCCTACAGGGACACTGTCGATCAACTGTAGATCGCGGTCAAACCTCCACTCCGCAGCCCAGATCACGCCTGCCCTCGAAGCCCCCGTCCTGCTGGGGACTCATCTAAACCGAGCTCCCGCTTCTCCCCTGACCTCAGCCCCTCTCCAGCCAGAAGCCTGGTTGTCATCCATGGGTTTCCTTTTCTCCCACCACGAGAGTCACACAAGGGGCAACAACGCATCTCAAATACGTCCGCTGTCCCCACCCCCCAGCCCCGACTGCCACCGACTCTAGGCTGCAGCCGCAGCTCCCACACAGCTCCCCCACTTCTGGACAACTCCCCGAGGCCATGCAGGACCCCCCCCCCCCCGGAACCCCCGCAAAAACACGTGGGACCAGCTTAGTCTCTGCTAAGGACACTCAGGGCTGTGCACTGAGGTCAGGCTCAAGGCCTTACAGGGCAGGGTCACACTGGGACAGGATAATAGTTTGGTCTTCACCCCGGCTCCTGGCCAGTGCTCCTAACACCCATGCGGTTGCCTAAGTGATAAGAATGACTGATAGATGTCTTCTCTTGTAGTATCTGAGTTTTATCCCCAGCTCCAGAAACAGGTCTGGAGTAATTTAGGTGAAAAGAACGTCTTCGGTTCTTTTGACGAGCTCTTTTGACCGCTCCTGAGTTTATGTTAAGGAGGTGAACTTTGGAGACGTAAGGACAGGGCCCAGTTGCCAGGGGAACCAGCCAGGTGGTCTGAGGGCTGGACATGCCCCAGGCCCTGACCTCCTGGGAGGGGGGCGGGCCATCCAATCACCAGTGCCAAGGATTCCATCACCACACAGAACGAGGCCCCCACAAAAACCCGAACTGAAGGGGCTGAGGACTTCCAGGCTGGCGACAAGGACCCCCCCACATACACTGGGACGGGGTGCACCGCTCTTCCCACAGGGACACTGCTGGTGTGCGGGGCTCTTCTCTGTTCCTCCACGTCCTGTGATACAGCCCTTGTAACAAGTCAGTTCACGAGGGAACTTGCTCTGGATTCAGGAGGTGTTACAGCAAATTACCACCCCTGAGGGGGCCTGGGACGTCTGAGCTGCAGCCCAGCTGGACTGAAGTGCAGGTGAGCTTGCTTGGGCCACTGCTCCAGGCTGGTGTCTGAGCTGTAACCACAGGGTCTGCAAGGACCCCTGTGTTAGTGTCAGAGCCGACATCCCATCTGTGACCACGGGCATCCGGAGGATCAGTTGGTGAGGAAGACACACTCTCAGGTGGTATGCGTGTGCACGTGTGTGTGTACATCTATGCACATTCACTTACAGAGGACAAGCTTCCCTTCCGGCCCGCAAGCCTGGCCTGGCAGCTCCTGACTGTTGCGCTGCAGCCACACCCACCTGCCTTGAGGGTCCCCCCGGCCGCCCCCCACCTGGCCCTTTCTCCCCACTCTTCCTCACTTCGTGGCGGGGACTACATCTGACTTGCTCCCCAGGCCTGGCAGCCGCATGCAAGGCTCTGGAGTATCGTGGGAGGCGCATGAGGCATCAGATGTCCGCAGGGCATCCATCCAAGTCCTCGTCGCGGAAGGTTCCAAAAGGGGAAACCTGGACAAGACAACCTTGCGTTGTCTCCTCCAACGCAAGGAGACACTTGTGCTCCATCCCAGGTGGGACACAGGAAGGCCCGCACGAGCGCGCCGCCCGGGGCAGCTGTCTAAGCACAGGGGTGCCGGGGCGAGTGGGACTGCTCCCTCCGAAGCCCGGTCACCACCAGCCCCTCCGGGTGGACAAGCCTATCCCAAGGTCCCCTGACCCCACACAGACAGCAAGTGCCAACCAAACCCCCCAGAGAGACCTGCACCCACAAACCAAACCCGTCAGCCTGATCCACACCTGCAGAAAACCAGAGGCAGAAGTGGAGGACCTCAGAGGGAAGTGCAGAAAAGCCTGGGTTGTCACAAGAAAACTGAACAGACACCAATATTTAAGTTTACTAGACTTTATTAAAAACTAAAACCAAAGAAAGAAGAACTGAATGTACAATTGACAGCATGGGAAGATGGCCAGGTAGAACAGACCATCACAGCAACAGGGAGGGGGTCGTCCAGCTCCAAGGACCCTCCCCACCTGACCCCATCCCACCCCTATCACAAGCCAAGGCTGTGGGCCGTCAGAGAGCGCCGGGCTGTGCTGACCCACAGGCTGTCTCTACTCACGGGACCTGAGACAAGCCCGTGGGACACAGTTCAGAAAAACACTGCAAGTCCAGGAACTCACTCAAGACCCGGAACTCACGCCAAGAGGCCAACAATTCTGGTGAAGCCCTTACAGCTTCGGTCCCCCAGCACAGCATCCTCCTCCACCCCAGGTCCTGAACACAAGCACCTCAAAGGAGGTGAGGCAAACCTCCTGCAGGTGGGGGGCAGCTGGTGGGGGGGAGGCACGGTGCTGAAAATGCAGCCCTGGAAAAACGGGTACCCCAGACGACAGAGCAGAAAAAATAAACACCCAGGGGTGGGTGCCGGCGGGAAGCCAGAGCCCGGGCCCACCGTGTCAGTCTCCTGCCGTTTGGCTTTGGGCCCTGGGGCAGAGTGAAGCCCTGACGCTAGAACTGCTGCAGGATCACCCTGCGCTTCAGGTCGTGGGTGAACTTGTGCATCCGGAAGAGCTCGCTGTCGTAGAAGGCGGACAAGTTGTGGATGTTGATCTGCCGGGCCTGAGAGAGGAGGTGTTGGGTGAGCCCTGCGGAGGGCGGGCTCCCAGAGCCCAAGCCCAGCGCGCTCCCAGGGCCCGTTCGCGGGGGCAGCCAGCTGGGCTCCGTCCCCATCACCAAGAGGAGCGAACTGGCCTGCGGCCACCAAACAATCTGCAGCTGGGCACGGGGCTCAGAACCGCAGCCCGACGATGCCCCTGAACTCAGAAAGCTGCGAACTGGCCTGGCTCCTCGGCGGTACGAGGACACGCGCGTTCCGACGGCCCTGCCACGCCCGTACCTTGTCCACCAAGTCCTTCTCGGGCACCTCAATCGTGTCCTGCTGGGCCCCAAAGCGGTTACGCTGGTATGTCACCTGCTCGGCCACCAGCTGCTTCAGGATGAACAGCAGCAGTTCGTTGTTGTCCCGGCGGAACGACAGGTAGCGGGCAAACGTCTGAGGAGACAGCAGGTGACCCTCCAACCAGGGCTCAGGCCCCCCCCCCCCCCCCCCCCCCGTGCTCCACAACCCCCCCCCGGCCCCCCCCCCTCTGAGCCCTGCCCACAACTGAGGTCCCGCCCCATGCTCCACCCACACGGCCCAGGCCCCACCCCTGTAGCTCAAGCCCCGCCTCCACAGCCCAGGCCCCAGGCCCACCTTCCGCATGCCGCGCATGACGCTGAACTTCTGCGTGTCCACGAAGCTCTCAAGCATCACGCGGATGGCCATATTCACGTCGTCCTCCATGACATAGTCCCGCAGGTGCATGCGCGCGTGAGCCTCAGCCATGCGGATCATCGACTCGATGTGCCGCACGGTGATGGGGATGCTGCCCGTGGCCTGGAGGGGGGACTGCGTCAGGGCGCCACGCGGCAGCCAGGGCGGACCCGCAATGCTGGTACAGCGGAGGGCCCGCCTGAGCCAGCGGGCTCACTCACTCCCAAAGCACGATAGCTCACGCCCGCTACCACTGCCAGCTCGGGGCATCTACAGTGCACACGCCAGGGGGCAGCTGTTTGTCTCTGTCCGGTACCTGGGGCCCCACGGTGCCGTGAGTGTGGGGGGACAGAGTACTTCTGTGAAGCCTGCCCTATCCCTCTGCAAAGGTCCACGCCAGTGACAAGGTGGAGGGGGAGAGTGGCTGTGTGGCTCAGAGGGTGAGGGAGCAGCCTGCCCTTAAACTCTCCCTGAGCCAGCCCCACACTAAGGCGCATGCATGTGCATGTAAGCTCCATCTATAAACAGACTCGTTGGAAGACCCTGATGCTGGGAAAGACTGAAGACAGGAGCAGAAGGGGACAACAGAGGATGAGATGACTGGGTGGCATCACTGAATCAATGGACGTGAGTTTGGGTAAACTCCGGGAGTTGGTGATGGACAGGGAGGCCTGGCGTGCTGCAGTCCACGGGGTCACAAAGAGTGGGGCATGCCTGAGCAAGTGTGCTGATGTGAACAGACTGGGTGGCCGCGTGAGCGCCACGCCTTCCGGGCGTCCCTGCCCCGGCTCTGGGCCCAATAGCCACACGGACGGGGCTCAGCTGCGGGGCCCTCACCATCGACTCCTTCCTCAGGTCACTGTACATCTTGGCCACCTTGTCCTGGTCCATCTGGTTGAGCTTCGGGTGGACCTTCTCCTTAGCATAGATGATATACTTCCTCAGGACCTCCTGCGGCAGGGGCTCCACGCCGTAAGTGTTGGGCATAGCGGGCTCCAGGGCGCCCCCTGGGCCCCCATCCTCCTTGTTGCTGGGGTGGTGTCTGACGTGGCTGCCGACCACGAAACGGGCCAGCATCTCATCCTGAGACAGCGGAGGAGGAGCAGGGTGAGCCCGGCACAGAGAACATGAACCCCCTACGATGCCCTCCAACGATGCGTCCTCTGCCCACTGTGGACCCAAAGCTCCGGGGCGGGGGGAGGGTGGACAGTGAGTGGGGTGCACCCCCAGGAGGGCAGAGGAGACGGGAGGGGGGGCGGTTTAAGCTACAGGGAGAAGAGAGGCAGCGGGGTGGGCTGGAAGCCCGAGGACCGGCCCCCCGCTGAGGTCAGCAAAGCCCCGATCATGACACGTGGGAGCGCGTGTGAAGCCCAAGGGAGAGGGCAGGAGGGTGTGGAGGAGAGGAGGGGCGGGGAGGGGGGGACCTCGCGGGACGGCAGGCTCCCTGCTAGTGAGGAGGGAGAGGAGGCCGCCAAGAGGCAGGTCGGCCCGTGTCCCCACAGACAGCTGGCCTCCGACAGGGGAGCTGGGTGGCCATGAGGATGGAGGCCAGGGGACCAGCACCAAGGCCGCAGGGCGCAGGCCAGAGGGGGGAGCCTGGGGTGGGGGCCGGAGCAGCGAGAAGCGAGTGGACTCGAGGCAGTGGTGGAGTGTGGCTATGCCAGGGGAGTGGGGGGGTGGCCGAGGAGGGGCGGCCAAGGAGAGAAATCAAGGACCTCTGGACTCAGAACAAGCGTGGAGAGCACACGACCTTCGAGCGGCCCTCCCGAGCTCACCACCCCACCGCCCCAGGACCCACGTGAGGCCCCTAAGCTTGGTGCACAGCCCCAGGCTGCGTACCTGCACGGGGTCCACCGTGTCCCTGACCACACACAGGACGTCGAAGCGGGAGATGATGGGCTCGGTGAGGTCCACGTTCTCCGAAAAGGTGAGTGAGGGGTCATAGCGGCCGCCTGGGACAGAGAGGCGGTTGCTGTTGGGGCTCCTGTTCCCAGGGCCCTCTTCTCCTTGACCAAACGCAGCTTTCCAACCTGCGTGGCTGCAGTGGCGGGAGGCGAGTCGACGGACACAGCGTCCGCCCCAGGTCCACCCAGTGCTCCAGCCACATGCTGGCTGAGACACCAGCCCCGCCCTACGGGACATACCAGGTGCTCTGCCCGCACCCTGAGCACGCGGCTCAGCGAGGGTTGGGGCGTCTCCGGCCTTCCACCCCTGCCCCCACACGCAGCGCGGGAGAGGCGTGCCTTCCATGGCTTGGTGCAGCCCGTGGCTGGGTAGCGGGACCCTGGGCGCAGGCTCCCCGGCTTCGCGCCCCTACCTATGGGGTTGGCGGCGGCGATGACGGTGCAGCGGGCCTGCAGGGAGGTGACGATGCCAGCCTTGGAGATGGAGATGCTCTGCTGCTCCATGGCCTCGTGGATGCTGGTCCTGTCCTGGTCGTTCATCTGCGCGGAGGGTCAGCGGGGCTCTTGACGCGCCCACGGTCACTCAGGCAAGGCCCCAGGCTCCCCACCCAGGCGCAGCCCGCACACAGCTCCGCACCCCAGGGCCCCACCTTGTCAAATTCGTCAATGAGGCACACTCCTCGGTCAGCCAGCACCAGGGCGCCAGCCTCCAGGGTCCACTCCCGGCTGACCGGGTGGCGCTGGACATACGCAGTGAGGCCCACGGCCGAGGCGCCCTGGCCGGTGGTGAAGATGGCCCGGCTGGACACCTTCTCCACGTACTTGAGGAACTGCGACTTGGCCGTGCCGGGGTCCCCGCACAGCAGCACGTTGATGTCACCTCGCACCTTGTGCTTGCCGCCTGCGGGGGGTGACGGGGGGCTCAGGATGGCCCCCAGCCCACTACCGCCGCCAACACGGGCTTCTTCCGCAAGAGGTGGGACACCCAGGACGCCTCTCCCCTCTGAGCACAGAACCCAGAGAAGCAGGGGCCCCGGGGTGGGGGGCAGGCGCCAAGATGCTTTGACATGAACCCTGGAGGCCATGCACGAGCTCCCGCCAGGAGGACAGCTGGACACAGCCCGTGCGGACCAGGACACGGTCACTCGGGAGGAGGAGCCCGTGCTGAGTGCGCTGGTGGGGGGTGAGGCCGGACAGCCCCTCACGGGCAGGCAGCACCGCACACGTGGGAGCAACACGCTGAAGTCACTGTGCTGTTCTCCGTGTCAGCCCACGTGCCATCCACATGGCACGACCACACAGGTCTGCCCCCGCACACCTCACCCCCAACCCGTGACCCGTGACCTACAGGAGGCTCACATCGAGGCAAGGTGGCACGCAGGGCCTTGAGAAGGGGACAGGACAGACACACGTTCACATTTCCCCACGTGACGGCATGCCCCTGCTCACCGGGGTTCTTGGGCTCCCCTCCGAACAGGGCCAGCGCCAGGCCTCGCTTGATGTCCTCATGCCCGTAGATGGAAGGAGCGATGCTGGCAAAGATCTGAGGGTGAGGGGCGATGGGAATGGTCACCCGTGTGCTCCAGCCCTGCATGGATGCCCCCACCCACCAACTCAGGGCCTCCTTCTGAGTCACCGAACCGGGGAGCTGACCAGGACGCTGGCCTTGATCCCCCACCCCAACCCGACTCCAGGACAAACAACCCGGGTCTCCCACGGAAAAGCTGCAAGAGACAGGGTGGAGGGGACACCTCGAGGCAGGAGATGGTCGGCCAGTCCCCACATGGGGACCGCCCGCGCCTGGACGCCGCCCCAGGACGCTCTTCAAGGGAGGAAGATCACCAGGGGACCGTGGGGCCCCGTCAAGGGTCAACCCTTAGGACCAGCCGACGTTTTCAGGGTGACAGCGGCGGCAGGATCGGGAAGCAAGCCTCTTAGAGGCTGACGGGTCTGAATCTGTCACCAGGAAGCATAGCGCAGGGCAGGCCAGCCCCGACCTCAAGGAGCAGACAGGCCCGCACAGGACCCAGGGGTCGTCACACCACCACACCCCACTCAAAACCTGAGCCGCCTCCCCGACACTCCCACACGTGGGAGCCCCACAGCGGGGGCAGCGGGCGGCCCCTGGGAGCAGGGCTGGATGCCGGCCAGCCTGGTGAGACCCCCGCCCCGCCCCGTGTGAGCCCTGTGACGTGGGCACCTCACGTAACCCCCGATGTCACCAGTAACACGACACAGCCCACCCTCTGCAAATCGCTCACTCCCGAGCACTCAGTGAGGCTCCCATTAAGCCCCCATGGCTGTCGCGAGACGGTCACCCTGGGCTGCTCGTCCGCCCACACGTCCTGGGGGTCAGGACTGCCGGCCAGGACCCTCTGCCCAGACCGCAACCAGAGCTGTCTGGGCACCACACCACAGCAGGGTGAGGTGATGTCCCCCATGGGACCGACGGCAGCAGCCCGCGTCCTGCTGCCATGCCTGCAGGCTCCCCGGGGCCTCGGTGTGGCCCGAGGGCAGGGGCTGGCCCCACTGCCCCGGGGACCTGAAGTGACTGTGCTTTCAGCCCCCGGTGAGACGGGTAGCGTCAAGCCTAGACCTGAGGGGGAGACACCTGCTTCCCCGGGGCTAGTGTGCTTACCCTTGACCTCCGTCTCATGGGAGGAATGAGCCGCCCGCTGCTGAGCACAGGGCGGGACCCCGGACTCCTCTGCTCCCGCTGAACCCTCCAGGCCCGGCCTACCGCCCACCGCAGGGACAGCACCCCTGCCGTCTGAGCTCACCCTCCCGCCCCCCAAGCACGTTCCTCGTGGCCCGGCCGCCTGCCGAATGGGTGGGCTGCCCCCACCCCTCGGCCCCCGTGTCTGCAAACTCTGGCCTGAGTGGTTCAGGGAGCCTGATTATTTCTGGACCTGCCTGTAATCCTTCAACGTGTCTCTAGAATTGGAGACGCATTCCCAGCGGCTGGTGAGAACGCCCACCCGACGGCGGACTCAACACGAGGCCAGTGCTGACCAACCCCCTGTGGGGCTCAGACGGGCGGACATAGAGGGGTCGTCCCGTCCACCCAAGGCCTTGCTCTGTGAGCGTCACGGGCAAGTAGCAGGCAGGACTGAGGTCCCGCTGGACTCTGCCTGGAGATGTCAGCGGCCAGCCCGGACAGACGGACAGGAGGAAGCAGCCTCCTGGGCTCGGCGGAGACAGGCACTTCCAGAAGCCTGGGCGCGAGGCACCCTCAGGGCCGCCCTGTTCGGAATCCAGGCTGGCAGCCGCTGCCTCACTCTGCAGAGCAGCAGAGCAGGAGGTGAGGGGCGGAGGCCACGGCCCAGGCAGGGAAGGGGGCTGGGGGGGCCGCAAACCCCCATGGGGACCCCCACTGCCCACAGACAGATACACGCGCAGGCAAGCTGACACGTGCCCGGGACGGAGTCCCCGCCCTTAGAGACCAGCCCAAACGCGCCATCGGAGTCTGAACAACACATCCGTCACAACAGCACTGGTTTTCTTTAGGGGGGCAGGAGGGGCCAAGGTGTCACCGGGACCCAGAAAAGAAGGAGCCCCATGAGAGTGACAACCAGGCCCGACTCTCCTCTGGAGGCCCGGGCACGGCCCCGGAGGGTCTCCCCAGACCCAGAGCGTTGGCAGACCCGTGTGTCCTGTCCCCCGGGGGGTCCCAATCTCGGCGGATGCGTAACAGCACCAATGGGGTGCAGGGCCCTGCCCTGAAGGCAGAGAGCAGCCCGGGGGACAGTGGGCGGCCCCACAGCAACAGGTGGACAGGAAGCGGGAGGCGAGGCGAGGGGGACCCGAGGACAGGAACCACGCACCCTGCGGCCGAGCCTGCCACAGCACGAGACGGTCCACACGGGCACACACACACGGATCCTCAGCGGCAGGGCCTGGGCACCCCTCAGACCCACACCGCTTAGAGACCACCTGCACCTTCATTTCTAGACAGTAAACCCCGTGACCCCAGCCTCCGCAAACATGCCTGCCATTTGAGGGCAAACGACAGGCCGCATCGGGGAGTGCTCTTCCAGGAGGCAGACCACGGGGAGGCGGGTGACACCGGGGACAACCCCCCCGCCGAACTCTTCCTGCTCCCGCATTGCCGGTCCAGCCCCAGCACTCCCCTGTCCTCCGGACATAACACGGGCTCCGGGAAGCCGCCTGCTGCACTTCCCCAGAGCGTGGCCCCCGTCGAGGCACGCAGACTCAGTGGACCCGGGAATCAAACCGAGGGCCTGGCTTCCAACACCCGGAACCAAGACAGAGGATCACAGTGGCCGGGGCACGAGCCCCAGGCACCCAGTCTGTGGCAGCACCTCCCCCCGACCTTCCACCTGCCTTCTCCCCGATCTGCTGGTCCTTGGAGAGGCTGGTGATCATCTTCACGTCCTCGTCGGTCAGCTCACCCACGGCCACCTTGTTGTCCTTCTTGGCCACGTGATTGGCCAGGATGACGGTGGCGAAGACCGGGAAGCCGTTGGCGGTGTTGAGAGCCCCGTCGTAGTTGTTGTGGTAGATGCCGGTCAGCTCCTGGGGGATGCAGAGAGGTCAGGAGGGCCGACCCAGGGTCGGCCCCCCCCCCGCCCCTCTCCAGGCCCCCCGGTCCGAGAGAGCCAAACTCGGGAAGCGTGGCACCCAGCCACTGCACCCCAACAGAAGCTCGGCCAGCAACAGAGAGCTGACCGCTGCCCGGGCCCAGCACCCACACCGGCTCCCCCGGCCCCGGGCACTCACGATCTCGTCGCCTGGCTTGCAGCTGTCCACCAGGTCCGCGAGGAGGATGGCGTCCTTAGAGCGGGGCAGCCGGCCAGCCGCCACTTTGCCGGGACTCTCCTGAATCCGGATGCGCTGGTAGTTCTGGTAGATGGTCTACGCAGGACAGACGCAATCTCAGGGCCCGTCCTGCCCGGGGGCGGAGGCCGGGGTCTGAGCACCGGCTCTCGTCACCGACTGGACCGTGGCCCCGGGTGGGGAGTGCAGCTTGTTACTCTCACTGGTGACGAGGAGAACAGGACCAGAGAGGGCAGGGAGCCTCGGGCACTGGCGCCCCGCCCCACCTCTGCTCCGGCCGCCTGCCCTCTGGACGCCTCCCTCCGCAGACGCAGTGCCCACCCCGGGCCTGCAGCTCAGCCCGCGTGTGTGGCCATAGCAGCCGGGCTGCTCTGTGGCCTGAGCTGAGCGATGCTGGCGGACGAGGCTCCCCCGTGCTGCCCTGTGAGGTGGGGCGCGAACGCCGCAGGTGCGGCCACCCGGGGAAGTCAGGTCACGGGAAAAGCATCAAGCCAGCGCCCAGGAAGCGAGTTACACTGGAGGTGGGCCTGCTCTCAAGGTCACGGGGCAGCACTGTGTGTGCAATCTAACGTCCCCCATCTCACTACTGTCCAGAAGAGCCACGTGACAGCAGCTAAACGCACATGCTCCGCGTAAAAACGCCTGAGTTCTAACCCTCTGGGCCACCTCCTAGCTGGACGACCTGCTGTTACTTCATCAGCCAAATACAACCGACGACAGCACCTGCCCCCGGCCCCACGGGGCGATGAAGACCCACTAGCACACGCCCGCCCTGGGCACCGAGCAGGCCCTCTGGAAGCTCTACTGTGAGGACCACTCTGCCATGAGTTCCTGTCCCCGCACGCAGAGCCTGCATCTCTGCTCCTGGGCAGGAGGCGCCCAGTGCAACGTGTTAGATGGGGGAACCATACAGGGAGGGGCCGGCGAGATGGGGGCGGGGCGAGAGTTCTGGGCAAAGGCGGGGGCTCACCCGGAACCCCGCCCTACAGCCGCCCTCGCCAGCTCACAGCATGCTCGACTTAGAACAGGTCCGACTCTGGCCGTGGGCTGCCAGGCACACCCTGGCAAGGCCACTCCAGCTGGGGCGCTTCTCAGATTTGTGGAGCAGTGAGGGATCAGCCTGACACTCACGGCAGCAGACAGTGGAAAGGTGTGTGCCTCACATAGGGGTCGTGATGGCCCCCCAACATGGACAAAGCCGTGCGTTATGTGTCCAGGCGCTTAAGGCCCAGAGCCTTCAAGCAGGGCCTCCCTGCAGACGGCACAGCGGTGTCTCGGGCAATTACGACCCCGCGCAAGGCCAGAGAAAAGGGTCCCAGGGAGTCACAACACGGGCCGGGCCTTGCTGTGGGCGGGGCTCTGGGGGAGCGGGAGCAGTTCTCCAGATCTTCCCATTTGCGAGAGAGCCGTAAACGCTGATGTTTCAGACGGAAGCATCTGGACCACCTTGAGGGCTGGCCAGCACCCACCCACACCCTGTTTCCCAGCCGGGTGCTGGCACGTGCTCACCTCCTCCATGTTGACCTCGAAGGGGCCGGCTGACTGGCACTCGGGGCAGGATCCCGGCTTCACCTCCTGGTTCTGGGACTGGCAGAAGGGCCCGAGCACGAAGCCGCACTTGTTGCAGTTGTACTTGACCATGCTGAGCTGGGGCAGGACGCCCGTGCAGCTGGTCACCACGCCGCTCGTGCGGATCAGCTGGTTCAGGTGCAGCTGCCTGGGGGGGGGGTGAGGGGGGGAGGGCGGGGGTGGCGTTAGCGCGGGCATCAGGGCGCGGGCATCAGGGCGCGGGCGGGGCATCAGGATGGGGCAGGGTGTCACGTCAGAGGGCCCACGTCGCAGACGCAGCGGGGGAGTGGGGGGCGCTCACCTGAGCGAGCGCAGCTCCTCCACCAGCGGCAGGTGGGAGATGCGCACGTGGATGCGGCTGGCGATGCGGTCGTACTTGGGGTACATGGCCAGCACCACCTCCAGGGCCGCCTCGTCGAAGATCTGCAGCAGCTCAGCGGGCGCCTCCGGCAGGAAGTAGGCCAGCACGTGCTCCCGGGCTGCCAGGTCCTCGTAGTTCACCACCAGGCTCTCGCGGTTCTCTGGGGGTGGGGAGCAGAGAGGCTGAGCAGGAGGGGCCGGGGAGAACACCTGGCAGGAAGAGCCCTGACTCCAAGCTGACAGGCACCCCAGCACGCCCGTCCGTCCAGTCATCCGCAGGGCGGGCTCACCTTTGCACATGTCGCTGATGCGCTCCTTGAAGACGTTGTGTCCGCGGCCGTCCACGTGGGTGCGCAGGAAGTTCTTGAAGCGGTGGTGGATCTCCAGGCGCGGGCCGGCCATGCTCACCCACTCGCGCACTGAGTGGCCCTTGAGGTCCTCCAGGTTCTCCACGCTCTCAATCATGTCCTCGTCCTCCTCGCCGTCCTCCGTGGCGCGCTCCACCTGCCGCCGCTTCCGGCTGGGGCGCTCCTCCTCCTCTTCGTCGCTGTCTGTGAGCCAGGAGGTGCTCAGGGCCGGCTCCGCGACCCCCACCCGCCCCCGCTTCCCCACCCCAGGCTCCCTGAGAACCCACCATACAGGAGCCCGCGGCGCATGCGGCCCAGGCCGCGGCCCGCCTCCCGGTCGCGCTGCCGCATGACCCGCTCGGCCGCCTCCCTCTGACTGGCCGTCAGCTCCTCCACGTCGTCGTCGTCCAAGGCCAGCCCCTCGGCCTCATAGACGTCCAGCTCCGGGATGGCGCGGTAGTCCCTGCAGGGCCCCGACAGGCGGTGTCAGCACCAAACCCCCAACAACAGCACCAGGATCTGGGCCCCCAGGGCTCCGGAGGGTTCCCCCCAGGGACCCCCCCTCCCCCCACACAAATGGGGTGCAGTTTTCAAAGACAGAGATGCTGAGGACACTGCGCTCGGGAGACAAACCAGGCCCGAGGCGGACGTCCTGCAGAAGTCGGTCTGGGAACCGGCTGGAGGTGGTCACACCACACAAGTGACCTGATGCCCCTGACCTCACACTCAACGCCTGAGATGGGAAAGCTTACGTCATGTGCATTTTCCACAAGGAAAAGGGGAGCTCTGAGTACCCGCAGGAAAAGGAATCAGAGGACCCACCAAGCCTCCTGCCGGAAGGGCCTCCAAAGCACCAACCCAGCTCCCCTCAGGCAGGAACCCTCTTGCTCCATCTCTGGCAGCCCCGCCTAGAACCCTGGACCCCGAGAGGCCCACCCACACCAGCCCAATGAGCCTATCCCAAACACGTGCGTGTCCAAGGCTCAGCCCTCCCAGCCCCGAGAGACCTTCCATGTGACCACCTCTCAGATACTGGATGGAGCAATGTCTACCCTCAGAGCTAACGCAGCTGCCCTCCCTGGCATTTGGGGAGGCATATATACCCTCCATCAGAAAGAGTAGAAAACCCAGCTCAAGGGTGAGGGGACTCCTGCCACCGATCACTCAACAGGGCTGGGTGTCACAGTCCGTACAACGGCAGGGGCCCAGCTGGCTCCGACTCCACACTGGCGCTCTGCAGTCCTCCTGATTCTCCTTCCCTCAGGGAAGGTGATGATGGGGGAATAGCCTTTCTTAACTTTCTTTTTTTGGTGCCATAAACTGTCAAGCGACAGTCTCAAAACACAGAAGCCCGTAATGCTGATGCCAGAAACAAAACCCAGAGCCAGCTTCATTTCTGGGCCAATAGTTCCAAAATCTGAAGTGTCCTCCAGGAAAAGGTACCTACCTGATGCTTGCTCCTTAGAAGGAAAGCTATGACAAACTTAGCATATGAAAAAGCAGAAATGTTACTTTGCTGACAAAGGTCCATCTAGTCAAAGCTACGGTTTTTACAGTGGTCATGTACGGATATGAGAGTTGGACCATAAAGAAGGCTGAGCACCGAAGAATTGATGCTTTTGAACTGTGATGTTGGAAAAGACGCTTGAGAGTCCCTTGGACTGCAAGGAGATCCAACCAGTCAATCCTAAAGGAAATCAACCCTGAATATTCACTGAAAGGACTGATGCTGAAACTCCAATACTCTGGTCACCTGATGCGAAGAACAGACTCATTAGAAAAGACCCTGATGCTGGGAAATATAGAAGGCAGGAGGACAAGGGGATGACAGAGGATGAGATGGATGGCATCACTGACTCAATGGACATGAGTTTGAGCAAACTCCGGGAGATACTGAAGGACAGGGAAGCCTGGCGTGCTGCAGTCCATGGGGTCGCGAACAGTCGGACAGGAATTAGCGACTGAAGAATGACAACAACTGACTTGTTAAGAATTTCAAGTTATGTGAAATGCCATCAGTGGAATTCTAATTGGTCTGCATAGAAAAATCTGATAAATTTGATCTCAGCAAAATTTAAAATTATGCATCTCAAACAAAACCATTTATTAAAACTTAAAAAGCCACAGGTTGAGGAGAAAGTAATTACAAATCACATACCTGATAAAAGTCTCGTATCCAGAATAAGTTTTTAAAAACTCTTACAACTCAGTAATAAGAAATCAAGCAAACCAATTCAAAGATGGGCAAAGACCCAAAGACACATTTTCCAAAGAAACACCGATGGCCAACACGCACATGAACAGATACTCAATGTCACTGATCATCAGAGAAAAGGAAATCAAGACCACAGTGAGATACTACGTCGTGAATATTAAGGCAGCTATTAACAAAACCCAGAAAATATCAGGTGTTGGCAAGAATGTGCAAAAATTGAACAGCATACACCACTTGTGGGAAGGTAAAATGATGTAACTGCTTTGGAAAACAGTTTGGCACTTCCTCAAAAAATTAACATTAGAGTTATCACACAACCCAACCAGGCCATTCCTAGGACCTGGAATTCCATTTCAAGAAAATTTAAATGTATGTTCACATAAAAATCTCACAGTAGCACGATTCATAATTGCTAAAAACTTTCAAAGAACCCAGATGTCTTCCAACCTATGAATGGGTAACAATATGCAGCCTGTCCATAAAATAGAGTATTACTCAGCCAGGAAAAGGACTGGCGTACCGATGCATGATCCAACACAGATGGGCCGTGAAAACCACAGGACACCCAACATACCTGCACACACGGGACACATGCCTTACAGGCCCTGCTTATAAGAGCCGGTCAGAGAGCAGACCAAAGGAACAAGGGGTGGGCTACTGGTTGCCTAGCAGTGGGGAAAGGGGATGGGATGAATTGGACCAGGTACAAGGGATCTTCCTGGGATGATAGAAAAGCTGGACTGTGCTGACGTCTGCACAACTCAGGAAGTCTACTTAGAAGCACTGAACTGTACTCTTGTAAGACGTAGCTTGTGTATTGTAGAAACCATACCTCAGTAACACTGCGTTTTAAAAAGCTACAAAACACAAAACCTAACTGGGCCCAAGCAGTCCTCAGAGCCTCTATCAGAGCCCTGGCAAGGGAAGGGCAGAGAAGCAGAGAGCAGTGGACAGAGGTAGTGGGGTCAGGGAGGGGCGTCCTGTCCGGACAGCCCCACAGAGCACAGGAGGAAGATGCTCCGGGCCCATCTGTCAGGACTCGGCATCTGTGGCAACAGCGCTGAAGCAAAGCCCCAAATGGTCCACGATGCTCCTCAAAGTCCCGGTGATGTTCCCGCAGGGCTCGCCCCACTGACTGTGGGGTGGCCTGAACACACGAAGGCTGGCACCCCCCCCGAGTCAGAGCCAGAGGGCCCCAGAGCACAATGTCCGTGTGGTTCTGGGGGTTCAGACAATTCTGGGGCAAACGTACAGACTGGGTCCTGGCTGTGAAAGTGAACACAGTCAGACAGTAGTGGGGCCCAGCCTGGCTCACTCAGAGCTCTACTCCCCGGTCACAGCATTAAGCCTCCATGACCGTGAGTACATGTCTGTACGTTTATTACTAAGAGTGAACACAGGGTCTGGTACAGATGAGGCACAGTAACTGTTTGCTCAACTGAATCTAAACCTTGATTAATCAGACCCACCCCCACCCCCAGTTTGTCTGAAGTTGCAGAGAAACTTGGCTGCCTGCTTCCTGACCTTCCCAGTTGGGATCCCGACGTAGCCCCAGATTAGAGACCCCCTGGGGGCACACCTGGTGTAGCTGGGGCTTCCCTGGGCCTTAGGCAGGGGCTGGTCTAAGGTACAAACAGCAAGTTACAAGAATGTACGCTGCAGCTCCACAGACAAGTCTCCTCCAGGACACTGGACCAAAATGTGCTCAAAGGCAAGCAGGCTCCTATGTATCTGCTTCTCCAGGACCCCAAACCAGGGTGGCCGGACGCCGAAGGGACTCCCTGTGTAAACCGTGGAGAGCAGGGCCTGAACTGCATACCTCTCCATGCCATCTCCAATAAGCTCCTCTCCGTCCTCTTCCTCCTCCAGGGGCCCCTCGGTGCCCAGCAGTCCCTCCGACTCATCCTCAAAGGGAGGAAGATCCCGGCCAGGGCTGGAAGTCAGGGCATCCGTGCGCCGGGAGCTGCTCCGCCCGGGGCTGGAGGTGAGGGGATCGTTGGAGCGCCGCCGCGGGCCCGGGCTGGACGCCACTGTGAGGGACTCGGAGGATTCCTGCGAGAGGATTCAGGCTTGGAGCGGGTGAGGACTGACTGAGCGCCCCGGGACGTCGCCCCCGACTCAGGGCTTCTGCCTGTTCTCCCGCACCGCGGACCCCCGCCGGCCTGCGCCTCTGCACCTGCTGCCGTCCCCTGAGCCGGCTGACCGCCCGCTCCTGCCCCCGGCCCGGCTTCCCACCCATCTGGGCCCCCGGGGGCAGCTCCCAGGGGACACGGGACGCGAGGGCGGCCGCCCCCGAAGGGATCCGGCACTCGGGCCGGAGGTGCGGCTGCTGACGAAGACCGGCAGGGGGAAGGGGGACCGAGGGCGCCGGCCGGACCGAGGTACTCGAGAGCCGCCGGGGTGGGGGGGCCGCCGGCCCGGCAGACCCGCCCGGCCGGAGCGCGGAGTCGGGCCCGGACCCCGGGCCCCGGGCCCCGCGCCCCGCGCCCAGCTCCCGGCTCACCGCCATCTCCGCGCCGCGTTCCTCTCCGCTCAGCCCGCCGCGACCAGTTTTCGCGCCAAAAGCGGCCCACGTGACCGCGCGAGCCCGGGAAGCGGCCAACGCGGCACGACGTCACGGCGTCGGCGACCGCGTTCTTTCCGGCCGGCGCTCGCGGGGCGGGCCGAGGGCGTGGCCCCGCGCGGCCCTGTCCAGGCCGCCCAAGGCTCATGACGTCGGCGACCGCGTTCTTCTAGCCGTCGCTCTTGGGGCGGCCCGACGCCCCGCCCAGGCCGCCCGAAGCCCGCCCAGCACGCCCTGAGTCCCCGCCCAGCACACCCGAGGCCCCGCCCATCCCGCGCTCCGCGCCGCGGGACCCGCTGAGACGCTGCAACTTTGCGGAGGCAATGAGTACAAACCTTCCGCGCCAGCTGCGCGACTCGGTCACTCTGGGGCCATTTGACAGACGAGGCAACGGAGGCTCGGGGCTCTGTCTTACTGCGTTATGTCAACTGCTCCGAAAGTTTAGGCTGAACGCTTCAAGCGCCGAAAAGGCCGGGGTGCTAGGAGGCTACGAGGTTGGAGTGTCGTCTGGAGGCAGCGGAGATCCAAGGGGGCGTTCTAGGCAGCAAGAGCCTCCCACGCAGAGACGCGGAGAGCAGGGCGCCCTGGCATCTGCAAGCACTTCCCTAGCTCCAGGTAGACCGCTTGTGATGTCCTGGAAGGGACAAGACGACGTTGGAGACTCCAGCTCACGAAAGGCGACCAACTCTTTCTGGAGCTCCCTGCGGACAGTCGAGAGCCCCGTGGGTTTTAGGAGAATCCTTTAGGCTGCCAGGGATGCAGGAGGGTGGAGGCAAGTTAAAAAAGTTACAGTCCGTTCCGAATCTGCATCTGCGGACTCAACCAGCTGGGTGGTTAGAAAAAAAAAAAAGACAATTCTAAAAATCAAAGCTTGATTTTACCGTATGCTACTTAACTATTTACATGGTATTTACAGCGTATTTATATCTATTTGCATAGAATTTACATTGTATTAGATACTGTTCAGTTCAGTTGCTCAGTCGTGTCCGACTCTTTACAACCCCATGGACCGAGCCTCTTGATGAAAGTGAAAGAGAGTGAAAAAGCTGCCTTAAAACTCAACATTCAAAAAACAAAGATCATAGCATCCAGTCCCATCACTGCATGGCAAATATATGGAGAAACAATGGAAACAGTGACAGACTTTATTTCCTTGGGCTCCAAAATCACTGCAGATGGTGACTGCAGCCATGAAATTAAAAGACACTTACTCCTTGGAAGAAAAGCTATGAGCAACCTAGACAGTATATTAAAAAGCAGAGACATTACTTTGCCAACAAAGGTCTGTCTAGTCAAAGCTATGGTTTTCCCAGTAGTCATTTATGGATGTGAGAGTTGGAAAGAAAAGAAAAGAAAGCTGAGCGCCAAAGAATTGATGCTTTTGAACTGTGGTGTTGGAGAAGACTCTTGAGAGTCCCTTGGACTTCAAGGAGATCCAACCAGTCCATCCTAAAGGAAATCAGTCCTGAATATTCATTGGAAGGACTGATGCTGAAGCTGAAGCTCCAACACTTTGGCCACCTGATGGAAAGAGCCAGCTCCTTAGAAAAGACCCTGATGCTGGGAAAGATTGAAGGCAGGAGGAGAAGGGGATGACAGAGGATCAGATGGTTGGACGGCGTCACCGACTCAATGGACGTGAGTTTGAGCAAGCTTCAGGAGATGGTGAAGGGCAGGGAAGCCTGGCATGCTGCAGTCTAGGGGGTTACAAAGAGTCAGATATGACTGAGGGACTGAACAACAACAGCAAGATATTGTAAATAATCTCGAAACTACAGTATACAGGAGGATGTACACCGGTTATGAGCAGGCAAGATACACAGATACTGCACCATTTTTTATGAGTAACTGAGCACGCTTAGGGTTTGTTGTCTGCAGGTAGCCTGAAACCAACCCCCGAGAACACAGAGGGCTGACCATGTGGCATCCTTCCTCCAGGCAGAGGCAGCCTGGATGGGAGCAGGGCTAGAGCCCTGCTCTCTTGTGTGGTGAGCAAGCATCTCAGGAGGGGACCCTGGGAGGGGCAGGAGTGATCCCTGGAAATGCAGATATCCAAGAGCCTTCAGGAGGTAAGAGTCTGTTGGTCTTGAGGATCCGTTCAGTTCAGTTCAGTTCAGTCACTCAGTCGTGTCCGACTGTTCACGACCCCATGGACCTCGGCACACCAGGCCTCCCTGTCCATCACCAACTCCCAGAGTTTACTCAAACCCATGTCCATGCAGTCAGTGGAGGACAGCAAAAGGGAGGACCCAGGATGGAGTTGGATCATCCCCTGGAGGAGGGCATGGGTACCCACTGCAGCATTCTTGCCCGGAGACTTCCGTGAACAGAGGAGCCTGGCGGGCCACAGTCCATGGGGTTGAGAAGAGTTGGACACTTTCACTCTCACGATGGCAGCAGGAGGCTGGCTCAGGAGACTGGCTTGGGGACAGCGCGCCTCTGAGCCAGGGAACTCGAGGGGAAGCCCGGTAAGGCATCCAGCACCTCACAACAGTCACCATATCACCAACTCAGTGTCTGGGGGTCTGGGACTGGGCCGGGCTTGGCTGGGGGCCTCTGCTGAGCAGAACCAACCATGCCTATTATTTTGGGGTCCCCATTGCTCTCAGGGAGCCCAGTTCTGCAGGAGCTGCCCTCCTGTGGGCCATGCCTCGAGAGGCTCACCCCCTGAAAGCCTGATGCAGGGCAAGCGAGACACCTGGGGGCCAGATCTGTGTTTACTAAACCCCATTCACGGAGGCCCCCTGCTGCCCTGCTCTGTCCTCTGTGCAAGGGGGCACTGCACTGAGCCAGTGCCCCTCTGCCCCGAAGGGAGGAGGCGAGGGAGATGCCCTCAGTACTCCACAAATGAGATCCCACAGAAACCTCCAGTGGGGCGCACAGCTCAGAGCACAAAACCCATCCCCGACCTCCACCCTGCAACTGTCCCGTCTCAAACAACAAGGGTGGAGGGCAGGTCAGCGTACTGCATCTCGCCTCCTTCCTGACACGGGGGTCAGGACTTTCCTGCCCCTGGAGGTCAGAAGTGGCCTGGGACTTGTTTTGCTCGTTACAGGTGAGCAGGGGTGACGCAGGTAACCCCTGGGCAGAAACTCTCGGAGCTGCCCACCCAGGGACACAGGCACCTCCTGGAGCTCTGCTTCTAGGGGCTGCTGCGGAAACGGCACGTTGACCGGGGTCCAGGCTGGGAAGGGCAGAAAAACTGAGTCCCAGATAGTCCCAAGGTGCTGGCCTTCTCACCTTCCCCTCGTTTCCAACAGGAGCTAGGCAAAGACTGGAGCCTGATCTCATCCCAGCCCAGCTGTGGAAATGTGTCAGGGGTGTGTATCTTGGCGTTACTGTGATAAGTGGGTGCTTACAATGTGCACCAGGCCCCGAGTCAGCCTCTGGACACGCAGGGAATGTGATAAGCCTGGCTCTATCTTCACGACACGGACATTCTACTTAGGGGAGGCTGATGCTGAACCAGGAAGTGACTCAGTGAACACAATCCTGTTAGGGAGACTGTGCCGATGTAAGCAGATAAGGGCTTCTCAGGTGGCTGAGCGGTAAAGATTCCACCTGCCAGTGCAGCAGTCGCAGGTTTGATGCCTGGGTCAGGAAGATCCCCTGGAGAAAAAAATGGCAACCCGCTCCAATATTCCTGTTGGGAGAATCCCATGGACAGAGCATCCTGGCAGACTGCAGCCCACAGGGTCACAAAGAGTCAGACACAACTGAGCTACTGAGCATACATGCACGCAAGCACGCAGATAGGGCAGGGTGTCCCAGAAAAAGACAACTGGGCATGGCGTTCTTGACATAAGAGAAGCCGTTTTTGGTCTAAGCCTTTTGGGGATCTAATGCTGGCCACCGTGCTTGCCCTGGACCAGGTCTCAGTAATTAATGATGTTAATGGAACACAAGAATGCAGAGACAAATTGTTATCAGGCAAGAGAAGTAACAGTGCTAGACAATATATCAGTTGTAAATATTCCCCATTTTGTCTCAATGGTAAAGACAAGCCTGAAGACTCGATCACCAGGCCAACTGGAACCTAAGAGATGGTCTCTGACCCATATGACCTCAATTAACTAAAGCTTGGGTAGCCCAAGACCCTTCACGAATATGCATGTACCCTTAACTTAAAATAGGGCTTCCCTGATAGCTCAGTTGGTAAAGAATCCGCCTGCAATGCAGGAGACCACGGTTCAATTCCTGGCTCAGGAAGATCCACTGGAGAAGAGATAGGCTGGAATGGGTGAATTTAATTTAGATGACCATTATATCTACTACTCTTGGGCAAGAATCCCTTAGGAGAAATGGAGTAGCCCTCAAGGTCAACAAAAGAGTCCGAAATGCAGTACTTGGGTGCAGTCTCATAAATGACAGAATGATCTCTGTTTCCAAGGCAAACCATTCAATATCACAGTAATCCAAGTCTATGCCCCAACCAGTAATGCTGAAGAAGCTGAAGTTGAACAGTTCTATGAATACGTACAAAACCTTCTAGAACTAATACCCAAAAAAGATGTCCTTTTCATTATAGGGGACTGGAATGCAAAAGTAGGAAGTCAAGAAACACCTGGAGTAACAGGCAAATTTGGCCTTGGAGTACAGAATGAAGCAGGGCAAAGGCTAATAGAGTTCTTCCAAGAGAACGCACTGGTCATAGCAAACACCCTTTTCCAACAACACAAGAGAAGACTCTACACATGGACATCACCAGATGGTCAACACCAAAATCAGACTGATTATATTCTCTGCAGCCAAAGATGGAGAAGCTCTATACAGTTAGCAAAAACAAGACTGGGAGCTGACTGTGGCTCAGATCATGAACTCCTTATTGCCAAATTCAGACTTAAATTGAAGAAAGTAGGGAAAACCACTAGACCATTCAGGTATGACCTAAATCAAGTCCCTTACGATTATATAGTGCAAGTGACAAATAGATTCAAGGGATTAGATCTGATAGACAGAGTGCCTGAAGAACTATGGACGGAGGTTCGTGACATTGTACAGGAGGCAGTGATCAAGACTATACCCAAGAAGAAGAATTGAAAAAGGCAAATTGGTTGTCTGAGGAGGCCTTACAAATAGCTGAGAAAAGAGAAGTGAAAGGCAAAGGAGAAAAGGAAAGATACATCTATTTGAATGCAGAGTTCCAAAGACTATATCCAAAGATACATTCTTTGAACTATCCAAGGAGAGATAAAATCTTCCTCAATGATCAGTTTCAAGAAATAGAGGAAAACAATTGAATGGGGAAGACTAGAACTCTCAAGAAAATTAGAGATACCAAGGGAATATTTCATGAAAAATGGGCACAATAAAGGACAGAAACGGTATGGACCTAACAGAAGCAGAAGATATTAAGAAGAGGTGGCAAGAATACACAGAAGAACTGTACAAAAAAGATCTTCGTGACCCAGGTAACCATGATGGTGTGATCACTCACTTAGAGCCAGACATCCTGGAATGCGAAGTCAAGTGGGCCTTAGGAAGCATCACTATGAACAAAGCTAGTGGAGGTGATGGAATTCCAGTTGAGCTATTTCAAATCCTAAAAGATGATGCTATAAAAGTGCTACAGTCAATATGCCAGCAAATTTGGAAAACTCAGCAGTGGCCACAGGACTAGAAAAGGTCAGTTTTCATTCCAGTCCCAAAGAAGGGCAATGCCAAAGAATGCTCAGACTACCACACAATTGCACTCATCTCACATGCTAGCAAAGTAACACTCAAAATTTTCCAAGCCGGGCTTCAACAGTACATGAAGCAAGAACTTCCAGATGTTCAAGATTTTAGAAAAGGCTGAGTAACCAGAGGTCAAATTGCCAACATCAGTTGGATCATCGAAAAAGCAAGAGAATTCCAGAAAAAATATTGCCTTCTGCTTTATTGGTTATGTCAAAGCCTTTTACTGTGTAGATCACAACAAACTGGAATATTCTTCAAGAGATCGAAATACCAGACCACCTGACCTGCCTCCTGAGAAATCTGTATGTAGGTCAAGAAGCAACAGTTAGAACCGGACATGGAACAACAGACTGGTTTCAAATCAGGAAAGGAGTATGTCAAGGCTATATATTGTCACCCTGCTAATTTAACTTATATGCAGAGTACATCATGCAAAAGGCTGGGCTGGATGAAGCACAAGCTGGAATCAAGATTGCCCGGAGAAGTATCAATAACCTCAGATATGCAGATGACACCACCCTTTTGGCAGAAAGTGAAGAGGAACTAAACAGCCTCTTGATGAAAGTGAAAGAGGAGAGTGGAAAAGCAGTCTTAAAACTCAACATTCAAAAATCTAAGATCATGACATCTGGTCCCATCACTTCATGACAAATAGATGTGGAAACAGTGGCTGACTTTATTTTTGGGGGCTCCAAAATCACTGCAGATAGTGACTGCAGCCATGAAATTAAAAGATGCTTCTTGGAAGAAAAGCTATGACCAACCTAGACAGCATATTAAAAAGCAGAGACATTACTTTGCCAACAAAGGTCTGTCTAGTCAAAGCTGTGGTTTTTCCAGTAGTCATGTATGGATGTGAGAGTTGGACCTTAAAGAAAGCTGAGCGCCAAAGAATTGATGCTTTTGAACTGTGGTGTTGGAGAAGACTCTTGAGAGTCCCTTGGACTTCAAGGAGATCCAGCCAGTCTATCCTAAAGGAAATCAGTCTTGAATATTCACTGGAAGGACTGATGCTGAAGCTGAAACTCCAATACTTTGGCCACCAGATGCAAAGAACTGATTCACTGGAAAATACCTGATGCTGGGAAAGATTGAAGGTGGGAGGAGAAGGGGACGACAGAGGATGAGGTGGTTGGATGGTCTCACAGACTCAATGCACATGAGTTTGCATAAACTCTGGGAGTTGGTGATGGACAGGGAGGCCTGGCTTGCCACAGTCCATGGGATCGCAGTCAGACACGACCGAGTGACTGAACTGAACCCACTCCAGTATTCTGGCCTGGAGAATTCCATGGACTGTATAGCCAATGGGGTTGCAAAAAATCGGACCCCATTGAGTGACTTGCACTTGCATTAATTTGGGAAAGATCCCATATGTTCTCCTCACTTGCTGCAGATAATAAATCCTTCCTTGTCCTGCTCTTTACCTTGGTTGTGTCTTTCAACTCAAAGAAGTGAAAGAAAGTGAAGTCGCTCAGTCGTGTCCGACTCTTCACGAGTCCCCGGACTGTAGCCCACCAGGCTCCTCCGTCCATGGGATTCTCCAGGCAAGAATACTGGAGTGGGTTGGGGCATTTCTTTCTCCAGGGGATCTTCCCGACCCAGGGATTGAACTCATGTCTCCCGCATTGCAGGTAGACGGTTTAACCTCTGAGCCACCAGGGAAGCCCTAACACCCCCCGGAAAAAAGAAAACAGTTTTGGGTAACAACTGAGAAGGAAATGAAAGGGCTTTGTGTTACAGAGACTGGACAGCTATTTTGGCTAGGGTGTCAAGTGGAAGTGTGTGTCAAGTGACAGACCCACAGGTAAGGAAGCTTGGTATATTCAAGGAAGAGAAACAGGGAACCCAGAGAGGAGCGGGTGGGAGGGATGAGGACGAGGAGACAGGAGGGGCCAGGCCAGGCGGAGCCTCCTGGTGGGGGGCAGAGGAGTGAACCCCGCGCACACGCAGGAGGGGAAGAACAGGCTATCTGGGAGGTCTTCCTGGAGGAGGCTCCCTGGAAGTAAGCGGCGAAGGAAGGCGGGCCAAGCCCCAGACCTGGGTCCTGTCACTTCCTGGTCCTGTGACTTCGGGGGAAGCGCTTAACGCCTCCGCCCCGGGGTCTGCTCTGCGAAAAGGGACGGATGACAGGCGGCCTGGAGGCGGAGGGTGCGTGGGCAGGTGCGAAGGGGCCGCGCCGGGCCCGGGTGGGGGCTAGTCCCCGGGGCCTGGAGGTCACCGGGCCGGCGGCGGCGGAGCGCCTCCCGGGACGCTGGAGGAGGGGGCGCTGCGGGCGGTGGGCGTGGACAGACAAGTCGCAAAGGGCTGCGGACGCGACCCCTGGCGGCCGAGTGGGCCGCGCGCGGGCTCTTTAAGAGGCCGGCGGACCGCCCCGCCCCCCGGGAACCCGATTGGCTCCGTCCTCTGCTCTCGCCCCGCCCCCTTTCTGGCGTAACTCCGTTCCTGTTGGTCGCTGCCGGCTGGGGGCGGGTCCCCGCGCCGCCGCGGGCAGGGAAGGTGGCTGTTTTCGCAGTTTTGGCGGAACGCAGAGGACGCACCTCCCTTCCGGATCGCCGCTGTCGGGAGGGCCGCGCGGGGTCAGGCTGATCGAGTGTCCCGATCGCGTCTCCCTTCCCCTCCCGCCCTCCGCCCTGTCTCCCGGAGCCGGCCTCCCGCGCCACTCTCCCCGCGCCACTTTCCCGGCCCGAGCGCCGGAGGCCCAGGCCCGCGGCCTTTGGCGGGGTCTGCGCCCGGCGGCGGATGGGCGGCCGGGGCCTCAGGTAAGGGGGAGCCCCTGCTCTGCCCCAGGTACGCGAGCCGATCCCGAGCGTCCCTGTCCAGGCTCCTGCCTCCGGGAGCGGGCTTCCCGCCCAGAGGCAGGCCCGGGGTCCCGGGGAGGCCGAGCTCCCGGACCCTGTGCCCTCGGCTGTGTGCCGAGACGTGTCTGCCAATGGTCACCTCCGGCTCCCGCGTCCGAGAGGGTGGGGGGTGGGGGGCGTCTCCTGGCTGGGGCAACGGGAAGTGACCTGTCCTCGCTGTGTGGCGGGGATGGGGCCGTGGGGTCTCCCGGACGGCCCTCCCACTATCCAGAAGGGCTGGGCTGCCCTCTCTCGGCTGCTGGGCGTTGATGTGTCCGACTCACCACGCTGGCTGTCCCCCCGAGAGCTGGGCCATGAGACGCCCGGGATGGACAGCCCATAGACACACAGCTGAGGGCCACTTCAGATGGGAGGGTGGTCAAGGAGGGCGCCTCAGAGGAGGTGGCCCCAAGGGTGTGGCCCGGTCGGGTGCAGGGAGAGCACGCAGGGAATCTGCAGGGGTCAGGCCAGAAGGCACAGGGCTGTTTTCCCTCCTGGGGGCTCCAGGTAGGGTCCACCCGCTTCCCCTCCTGGGGGCTCCAGGTAGGGTCCACCCGCTTCCCCAAGGCTGGAGGATAATGGTTGTGAAACACTCCTCATCCAGTCTTGGTCCAGGGTTGAAAGCTCATTGAGCAGCTGGGGCCGGCCACCCTGAGGGGTGTCTCCACAGCAGCCTGTCTGCTCAGGGTTCTGTGTTTCTGCAGGGCTCCCACCCAGGACCTCTGGGCCGCGCATGGTCAGTCCCACTGCACAGGCCAGGGAGACCCAGGCACTGAGGCTCAGAGAGGGGGGGGGCCCTTCTGGCCCAGGCCCAGCACGCAGGGCCCGCGCCATTGGCATGAGGCCCACAGCTGGCCGCAGACGGAGGGGGGGCTAGAGGGTGGGAGGAGGTCTCTGGAACGGCAGCGAGGTCAGGAGCGTCCTCCCCAGGTGGAAGAGACAGTCTGTCATAGCGGCCCTGGTCCTGAGCGGTGCGGGGCCGCCCAGGGTACTCAGCATCCCAGGAAGACCCCCCTCTCAGCGCCCTCTGCCAGCCTGCCCTCCTGGCCCCTCTCTCCTGCAGACCCCTCACTCTGGCATTGCCTGGAGCTCACCTGTGGTTGGGGAGGGGAACGGGGGAGCCTCTGACGGTCCCCCTCAGCCTCCTTCTGTCTGTGCTGGGACAGCGGCCGGCTGCCCGCTCCTGGAGGCCGGGGTGGTGGCCCCACAGGTCAGCGCGTGGAAAGCACGGGCCCTGAGTGCGCACGGGAAGGGAGGGGTGTGCCGTCCTGTTGCTTGTATCCTGGCTTCGGTTATTTTGTTAGCTCTGACACACCGTGGCAACCTGCTGTGAGTCGTGTGATCCCCACCCCTGCCCGCCCCGAGCCTGCTTGTTACCAGCAGTCCACCCTGGATCAGGCCCCGGGCGCCTTGCACCTGCAGGGGAGACACCGAACCCTGGGACACCCCCTGGGAGGGGGCCCCGGGCCCGGGAGGCAGGCTGGGCCGCGGGGGTCTCCTCTTCTGCCGCTATTACAGGGCGAGCGGGGCCAGGGCGGGGAAAGTAGGCACAGTGGACACCTGCCTTCCCCAGCCCAGACTCCGAAGCGAGTGGGGTTTGGACCCTTGAACCAAATCCTGCCCCCCCATCCCCACCCCCGGCTTCCCCTCTGGGAAGAAAGCGGCAGTTACCTTTGTGTGTGTGGTCCTATGCAGACTCCCTTCCCTGCTCTTGCCTGACCCTTCCAGCGACCTTGCTGGTGGGGATGCTGCGGCCCCGTGACACTGAGAGAGGGGGATGACCGGCCCAAGGTCACAAAGGCGGCACCTGGCCGAGCCAGGAGGTCAAGCTGGGGGTCTGTTAAGATTTCAGAATGTGGCGGGGCTGGGGAGCCTGGCTTCAGGCATGGCTGGACCCGGCACTGTCTGTGTCTCTCTGTGTTCCTTGTCGGCTCTCGTTCCACGTGGACTCCAGTGTGAACACTCCTTGGGGTTCGGGAAGGGGTGCTGGAAGTTGTACCTACACCCTGTGCACGGAGACGGGGGTGCTGAGGTTTCCCCTAGGAAACGGGGGTGCTGGCCATGCAAAGCCAGGAGAGATCCTCCAACCGCACGCCCACTCTTTCTGGCCGCCGTCCACCCACGGGCTCCTCTCGGGTGTGTGGGGGTCCCTGCAGGACATGAGGCAGTTCTGAAGCTGCCTGCGGAGGGGCCCGCACTGACCACGCCACCCCCGTTGGAAACCCCTGGCTCGTGGTCAGCGGCCTCAGCTTCTGGCACTGGTGAGGGGCCCTGTCGTGAGCACAGGGTGTCAAGGGGGTCCTGCAACGACTGAGCACCTGCTTAGCAATCGTGGGGACACTGTTCTCACCTTAGCAATCCCAGGGACAGCCCCCTCACGTTAGCAATCCCGGGGACACCGTCCGCAGATGGCCGGGCCGCCGCAGGCACCCCCAAGGCTCAGGTCGGAGCCTGGAATGAGCTTCTCCTGCCCTCTGCCCTCACCCCTACGTGCGTCCGTCTGTGAGTCCCGCTGGCCGACCCTCCCAAAGGGCCCCCAGATCCCAGCACTCCAGCCCCGCTGCCGCCTCCCTGCCCCCATCCCCCTGCTCTGGTGCCGCCTCCACCCACCCGCCTCCACCCCTCCCATTGTGCTTAGAGGGAGATTGGCTGACCTGGTCCCCACCCTGTCTCCTCTCTCTTCCAGCATCAGCATGCCCTGTGCCCTTTGAACTGGCCAAGACTGTTTCTGCCTCCTGCCTTTGCCTTCACTGCTCCCTCCCCGGGATGTGCTCTGCCCAGATTACCCCAGTCCAGCTACTTTCAGTTATTTAGATCTCAGTCCAAATATCATTCTGTCTGACGACCCAGCCTGTGGCAGCACTACTTTGCATTCCGGCTTAGCTATTGAGCAAGGCTGAGATGACAAGGTAGATGGGTACTGCCATCTGCTGCACAACAGTCTGTGCAGGCTGACCTGCTCGTCTGAGACCCAGATACCCTGTTACCCTCTGCTCCATGACTTCTGCCTCATAGTCCACAGTGGATGCTACTGCTCCCACCACCACACCCACAATTCCAGGCAGTGGGAAAGGAGGAGGATGGGCCCTGAAAACTGGCACAACTTGCTGCTCATACCCAGTTGGACGCAACTTGGTCACGTGGCCACAGCCAGCACGAAGGGAAGCTGGGAAAGTGGCCCTGCTTCTGGGAAGTCACATGCCAGCTAGAGTCCACAGCTCTGGTACAAAGCGGGCGTGGACGCTGGGGACCCCAGCAGTCTCTGCTCTGTTTCCCATCATTTATTTTGTTCCCCTCCTGTTTTCTTCTCAGCATGTACCTCTAGAAGTTTGGTTTGTAAGCACGGGTGCTTTAATACCTTTAATCCCCTTTAACACCTCCCGGCCTTCTCATCAGGTTGTTGATCCCAGAGCCGGCCAGTGGCCTGTATGGGAGGGAAGGATAGAGGGTTCTGAGCCCCTGGTCCAGGCCCGCCCACCCCAGAGTCTCCCCAAGTGCAGAGATGCCCCTGCACCCCCCCACCCCAGCCTGCACAGCGGGTGCTGGCCCCCACAGGAAGCGTCCTGGGCTGCTCATGGCCGACCTGGGCACTCAGTGCATAAACGATTCACCTTCCTCGTTGTTGGAAACCTGCTGAAGCGGTAACCCACCCAGAAAGGCGCCCCACTCACAGGCGTGAGCTCGGTGAACGGCTACAGCCAGCACACCCGCACACCAATCCCGCTGTGGGCCCGCCGCCCTCCACCAGGCGCCCACCCCGGCCTCCACTCGACATGCTGCCTGCCAGGCCAGGACAGGGACTCACTCCTGTTTGTGGGCAGTGTTCGAGCATTGGTGCGAACACCCTGCTGAGTGTGCATTCTGCTGATGGTGGCACTTGGGCTGCTCTTGCCCCGGGCTGTCGCGACAGCCGGAGGTCGGGGCACCGGGTCAGGAGCGCGGCATGTTCAGTCATCGTTTTCAACGCTGGCATCTGTCATGTCCTGCTGCCGGGCCCCGTGCTCCCTGCAGACACCCCCTCCTGCCTTCTGGGTTGGGGACCCCAAGACTCTGGCGCTGCTCACGTGCTGACTCTCCCCTCCCCACCCCCAGGGCCAGCTGCTGGCAGGATGGACACCTGGGACATGGGGGCCAGCTCGCCTCCGCCTCTGGCGCCCAACATCAGCGTGCCGCACCGCTGCCTGCTGCTGCTCTACGAGGACATCGGCACCTCGCGGTGAGGGGCACGGCTCTGCCCGTGAGAGGGGTTCCCTGTGGGCGTGTGTGTGCGCGCACATGCGTGTGTGTACATGTGCATGTGTGTGTGTGCGCACGCTGCTCTATGAGGACATCAGCACCTCGTGGTGAGGGGCACGGCCCTGCCCATGAGAGGGGTTCCCTGTGGGCATGTGTGTGTGCGCACATGCGTGTGTGTACATGTGCATGTGTGTGTGTGCACGCTGCTCTATGAGGACATCAGCACCTCGTGGTGAGGGGCACGGCCCTGCCCGAGAGGGGTTCCCTGTGGGCATGTGTGTGTGCGTGCTATGTGTGTGTGAGGCAAGCACAGCCCTGTGTATTTGTGTGTGTGTGTGTGTGTGAGTGTGAGGCAGGCACGCTGGGGTGCAGACGCAGCCCTACCACTGAACTGCCTGCTATGCCCATCTTCTAGGGTCCGGTACTGGGACCTCCTGCTGCTCATCCCCAATGTGCTGTTTTTCATCTTCCTGCTCTGGAAGCTTCCGTTTGCTCGGGCCAAGATTCGAGTCACCTCCAGCCCCATCTTTATCACCTTTTATATCCTGGTGAGTTCATTCCAATTGGTGACAGAAAACTCAGTTCCACCTGGCTTAAGCAAAACAGGGAATTATTAACTGTCTTTGTAAAGAATAATCAGCTTCAGGTACGGCTGGATCTAGGGGTTAACTGATGCCGTCAAGACCCTCTCTCTGCACGTCTGCTTGCCTCTGGCCTTACCTTCACACGCATTCTCCCTGCACAGTATCAAAAGCATCCAAGAGCAGTTGAGTGCTGAGCTGCCCCCCGCCAGCTGCAGCGGAAGGGCAGCATTACGGGTTGTGCACTGCAGACCTGGCATTACCTCTGAGAGGCCCTCCTGGGAGCCCCTCTTCATCTCTGACTTGCAGAGAAAGAGACACTCTGGAGCTGGGGGCGGGGGGGTCAGCTCAGCGAGACCACGGGGACCCAGGAGGGTAGTGGCCCTAGGAAGCAAACTGGGGAAGCGTGACTTGAGGGAAAGGGGAGTGGGTGCTGAGTGGGGGATGCCCAGCGTGTTCTGACCTCTGGCTGTGCCAAGCGACCTTGGGCCAGCGGCATGGGCCCTCTGGGCCTCAGTGCCCATCCACCAGATGCGCTGCGGATCTTGCCAGCTCACAGCACTGTGAGCACACACCCAGTGGGAGCACACAGAGCTCCCAACCCTGGCCCCTGGCCCGCCCTGGGACGCGGCGGGCATGTGGCCCCGGGCGGTGACAGCCTCCCCGAGGCCGGACACGGTTTTCCAGGCTCAGGGGTCAGAAGGCATGGCCTTGAGCCCACAGAAGCGATTCCCAGAGAGGTCGTCCCTCAGTGCGACCACCCCCCCACCTTGGGTTTTCTCTGCCTCCCCAGGTATTCGTGGTGGCGCTGGTGGGCATTGCCCGGGCGGTGGTGTCCATGACGGTCAGCACGTCAGACGCGGCCACGGTGGCTGACAAGGTGGGCCTGGGCCTGTCGGTGGGGGTGCTGGGCGCCAGGAGGGGGCGCTGGGCCCCGAGGCTGACGCTCTGACCCCCTCTGTGTCCAGATCCTGTGGGAGATCACGCGCTTCTTCCTGCTGGCCATCGAGCTGAGCGTGGTCATCCTGGGCCTGGCCTTCGGTGTGTGTGCGCCCCCGCGGCCTGCGCCCGCCCCGGCCCCGCCCCCGGGACTGCCCCCGCCCCCGGGACTGGCCCCGCCCCCGGGACTGGCCCCGCCCCCGGAGCTGGCCCCGCCCCCGGGACTGGCCCCACCCCCGGATCTGGCCCCGTCCCCGGGACTGCCCCCGCCCCCGGGACTGGCCCCGCCCCCGGGACTGGCCCCGCCCCTGGATCTGCCCCCGCCCCCGGGACTGCCCCCGCCCCCGGAGCTGGCCCCGCCCCCCGACCAGGCCGCGTGTTCCAGGGCACTTGGAGAGCAAGTCCAGCATCAAGCGGGTGCTGGCCATCACCGCGGTGCTGTCGCTGGCCTACTCCGCCACGCAGGTGCGGGGCAGGGCGCGGGCAGCGGGGGTGCCGGGCGGGCACCGCCTGCAGTCTGGGTGGGGTGCAGTCTGGGAGGGGGGCGCCAGGGCGTCAGGGGCAGGGGCTCGAGCATTCCACGCCGCGAAGGGGTCGCCTGCTAGCCGCGTGCTGGGTGCCTCGGATTCCGGCCCAGCAAAGCTGGGCCTGCTGTCTCAGCAAGCAGCCGCGCAGCTCTGCGGGCGCCCCCCGAGAGCCGGCTCCTGGGGCGGGACCACCGGCTGGGGGCGCGGCAGGCTGAGGCCGGCGCGGAGGGCCTTGAGGGGGCGGGCTGCGGGAGGCGTGGCGGGGAGCCGCTGAGGCCCGCCCCGGCGCCCCCGCAGGGCGCGCTGGAGATCCTGTACCCCGACGCCCACCTGTCAGCCGACGACTTTAACATCTACGGGCACGGGGGCCGCCAGTTCTGGCTCGTCAGCTCCTGCTGCTTCTTCCTGGTGAGCCGGCGCGGCTGCGGCCGCCCGTGGGGCCTGGGCGCGCGTGAGGGGCTGGGCACCCTGGTCAGCCCCGCTGCCTCCGTAGGTCTACTCCCTGGTGGTCGTGCTCCCCAAGACCCCGCTGAAGGAGCGCATCTCCCTGCCGTGTGAGCGCCCGGGGCGGGGCCGGGGGTGGGGGCGCGGGGATTGGGGGTGGGGAGTGGTTGAGGGCTGGTGGGGTTTGTGAGGTGGCTGTGGGGTTTGCGTCGGGGGTGGTCGGAGGTGCGGGGTGTTGGGAAGCGGGCGTGGTGCTGGTGGGGGTGGTCGGTGGGGTGGTTATGGCTGTGGGTGCCCTGGGCCCTGGCCCCGGGCAGGACTCACGCGCCCGCCCCGCAGCGCGGAGGAGCTTCTATGTGTACGCAGGCATACTGGCGCTGCTCAACTTGGTGCAGGGGCTGGGGAGCGCGCTGCTGTGCGCCGACATCATCGAGGGACTCTGGTACGTGTCGGGGTGGGGGAGGGGCGAGGGTCGGGGGGCCGGGGGGCTGCAGGTCCCCCCACCGCAATCCTGACTCACCACCACCCCCAGCTGCGTGGACGCCACCACCTTCCTCTACTTCAGCTTCTTCGCACCCCTCATCTACGTGGCCTTCCTGCGCGGCTTCTTCGGGTGAGCGCCCCCGCCCCCCCCGCCCCGACCCCGGCCCCCACTCCCCTGCGCCAGGGACGCATGGCCGGAGTCCGGGTCAGAGGCCAGGGCGGGGTCGCGCCCTCTGCCGCTGGCCCACGCACAGCCAGCCCCGGGCCTCCTGGCCTCAGGCTCAGGGCACCCAGGCTTCTAGGAGCTGAGGAGGCTGGGGGTGCATGTGAGAGCATGCCCGCGCGCGTGTGCACATGTGTGTGCATGCACCAGGCACATGCACTGTGCGCACACGTGTGTATGCACATGCATGCACGCACAGATGTATGTACACATGCATGCATGTACACACGTTCACACCCGCATGTGCCCATATGTAGCTCAGTCACACGCACACATGTATGCACGCACACATATGGAGACCTGGGATCCATCCCTGGGTTGGGAAGATACCCTGGAGAAGGGAGAGGCTCCCCACGTCAGCATTCTGGCCTGGAGAATTCCATGGACTGTACAGTCCATAGGGTTGCAAAGAGCTGGACACAGCTGAGCAGCTTTCACTTTCACACACGCACACACAGGCACACGTGTGTGTCCACATATTTAGTAGATATATACACACTACAGACACACACATTATATACACGCACAGCCTGTTCCCCGGAGGCCGGACCTGCCAACACGCCCATGTGCTTGGCACTGCGTCCTCAGCAAGCGTGATGTCGGCGCTGCAGCCGCAAGCCCTGAGCTCCCGGAGGAGCTGGTGTTCCATCGGGGGCGCCTGGAGCAGGGAGCAGGGTTGGGGGGGGTCACCATGCTTCTGAGCGTCGGGTGGGCGCACCTTTGTACACGTGTGTGTCTGGAGGGCTGTCAGGTAGCGGCAAGCTGGAGACTGTGGGATTGAGGGATCCCAGCCTCAGCTGTGGGAGTGCGCATCTTGCCCCCAGCCCCTTCCCTACCTGCCGGGTCTGAGGGTGGTCTGAGGGGGCGGGGGCCTAGACTGGACCCTGACATGCGTGACCTCACGCACGACCTATCTCACTGGGCTCAGGCTGCTTTCTCCCGGGAGAGTCACCCCAAGGTCTGGGGACGGGCCACCAGGCACCCAGTGGGCAGTGGTGAGCGGGGCGGGCGGGGGTCAGAGTGGTGGCCGCCTCTTGCTACACGCACCTGCTGGTTAAGGCCCGCCGTTCCCCAGGCTGGACTCCGTCCACCCACTTGACGTGAGAAAGCAGATGCACCAGGTTCACTCTCCTGGAGCTGGGGGGCTCACACGTGTCCCAGTGGGCCCCAGAGGGCAAAGAAGGAAGGGCGCCTCGAGGGGTGGGCACTGGGGGCCGTCAGCAAAAGAGGGCCTTCTGGGCTCACGGGGGCCCTCTGACTCTTCCCCACCAGCTCGGAGCCCAAGATTCTCTTCTCCTACAAATGCCAAGTGGACGAGACTGAGGAGCCGGACGTGCACCTGCCCCAGCCCTACGCGGTGGCCCGGCGGGAGGGCCCTGAGGCTGTCGGGGCGGCCAGCACACAGTTCGACTCCGCCGGGGTGGCCTATCTAGACGACGTGGCCTCCCTGCCCTGCCACGCCGGCAGCATCAACAGCGTGGATAGTGAGCGCTGGAAGGCCATCAACGCCTGACGCAGCCGCCCCGGGGGCAGGACTACGGGGGAGAGCGAGCACTGGAAGGCCATCAACGCCTAGGGCAGCTGCCCCAGGGGATGGGGCCACGGGGGACTGGCTGCAGGGGGGCTGGGGGAGGAGAGCCCCAGCAGAGCGGACGAGGGGCCCTGCCCACCCTCTGTCCCCACCTCTGTTCAGCCGGGTCCGCTCCCCCTCCCAGCTGCCCCTGCCCCGCTCAGGGACGCGGCCCCAACCATGTGTCCCAGGGCTGGCCGGCCGCCGCCTCCCTGCAGCCTGGGGCCCGGGACTGGACTGGCCTCCTCATCTCCCACCCCCACCCCAGAGCCTGCGCCAGTGGGTGGGCCGAAGTGTGTCTATTTTCCTGATCTGTTTTCTAATAAAAAGGAAAAGGGCAGAAGGTGGCGTGGAGGGTTGGTGGGGCCGGGAGTCCCCCGTGCCCCCGGGCGGGATGGTCCTCACTCTGCGTGTGGGGCGGCCCTTGAGGACTCGGGGGGCAGCATGGGTTTTGGGGGGGAAGCAGGATCAGACTTCTGCCTCTCGCCAGTCCCCGCACTGGCAGGACTTCGGGGCGCCCAGGGAATGGTCTCCATCCACTTCCCATCAGGACCAACTTTCGGCTTCCAAGGAGCAGGTGTGTGCTCGCAGCTGGGAGGACGCGGGATGTGACTTTCCTTATCTTGCTAAGATTCCTTTTAATCAGCCCTAAGAAAGCCTTAAGAGTTTCCAAGGCCGGAAGCTAAAATTTCACTACTGGGCACCAAGACGAGGGGGGAAAAAAGGCTCAACAAGCTGGAAACGTCGACGGTGAGCAGAAGAGGATGGGCAACCGGGGGGTTGGGGGGCATCGCCTCTGCAGGGAGGACATCGGGTACTGTGGGTGAGGCCCAGGGCTTCAGGGGCGAGACTCTGCCCTCAGTAGCTGCTGGAGATGCAGTTTTAATAACAGACCCTGGGCGGTGTTTTAATAACAACCGTGGGGATTAAGCATCAGGGACAACGAGAGCCCCCGTGTCTCCTCCCTCCTGACCTGGCCCGGCCCTTGGGACCACGTGCCCACTGGTGTGAATTTCCCGTTTGTCACCAGAGCACACGTGTGTGCATCCACAGACAACGGGCTTTACCTCAAACAAGCGCGTTCACACAGCTCTTCTCCCGCCTGCTGTCCTCACTCAGCTCTCGTCCCAGGTCTCCCCACTCCCGTCCGGCTCTCCGTTGTGTAAGCAGAGCACCGTCTACTTGTGCATTCTGTTTTCCAGTGATCAGTGTCCGATGCCCGCTCTGCGTCTGTCTGATCCCCTGTGCACACGGGCTCCAGGGCAGATCCAGGGGACGGAGGTCTGGGGTGTTCTCCCAGTGGTCGGGCAATCAGGGCACAGGTCCAGAGCTTTCACACTGGGTCCTTCCTCGCCCTCCGGGCTTCTGAGACCCCTCGAGGGGTCCCTGAGGTCAAAGCTATACTTGTAGTAGTGAACACGAGTGCACCGGGGAATTTTCAAGACCCGGCCGGCGATAACGTCATAGCTCTGATGGCCGATGGCATGTGTGCATTATTAAAGTTAAACTTTTGAGTATGTAATTTCAAATACATACACGTTAGTAGACTAACTCCCATCCAGAACGCTCGCTCCCCGCTCCTGGAATTCTCAGTCCATCTCAGAACAGTCACAGCCGGCCCCTGCATCCACGGGGGGTCGCAGAGGGCCTGTCGTGGTCGGACCCACCTGATCCATCGCTCGAGGGGACACCGAGCACCTGAGGAGGGAGTCTTTCCGGGGCCGGGAGGGGCGGGAAGCCAGGGAGCCCGGCGCGGGTCAGACTGCACTGCCGCGAGGAACCCGCACCCTCTGGCCTCAGCTGCAGATGCAGGGAGCAGAGGACTCGCGTCCCCGGAGCATCGAGAGCCAGGGTGGGCACCGGGCCAGCCCCAGGACGCCATCCTGTGTGGTCCCCGCAGATGGACCTTCCTCTTGCTTGATACCCACTTGGCCACCTCCACGCAAACACTCAACGTCGGGAAAGCACATGGACAGGGCCGCACCGTCTGAGCTGCAGGCCCCGTGGACGTTCTGCTGGCTGTCCCCATGGCAAACAATCTAGTTCAGGGCTGGCTGCCACTGGGAGGAGATGCTTCTCCTCATCCCTCGCTCACGCGCTAGTTATTTATACTTATTATTCAGAGGGAAGCAGGGCCCCTGACTGTGAAAGGGGGCACCGTCCTAATGACTCAGGCTGTGTGCTCCGTCGCTCAGTCACGTCTGACCCTGTGCGACCCTGTGGACAGCAGCCTGCCGGGCTCCTCCGTCCCTGGGGTTCTCCAGGCGAGACGCCCGGAGCGGGTGCGTAATGCAGGACTTCTCTCCAGGAAGCTGGGCGGCAGGCCCACCTGTGAGATCGCCCTCCCCACGCCGGCACCCCAGCCTGCGGCCCGCGGAACTCCAAGCTTCCCAGTGCTCACCTGCCAGCCATGTGGGGAGGGAGACCGCGTGTGGCTGGGAATTTTTATGCTTACCGAGTCATTTCTTTTTGCAGCCGTTTAGTCAGATTGGTTAGGGATTGTGTGGGGACGTTTATTCTGGCGAGAAGGTTGGATGGCATCACCGACTCAGTGGACGTGAGCTTAAGCAAGCTCTGGGAGATGGTGATGGACAGGGAGGCCTGGCATGCTGCAGTCCATGGGGTCGCAAAGAGTCAGACCCGACTGAGCGACTGAATAACATTGGAGCCTGTGGACTGATCCAGCCTGGCTGGCCCGGCCTGTGAACTTCCCACTGGACACCAGAGGGCGATGGGCAGCAGCCTCCCTGCATTCCTCCCGGCCCCTGCCACCCTCTGACAGCAGATAACATCCAGACCCCAAAGGCCTGGTCCCGGAAACGAGATCCCCATCAGGCCCTACGTTTAGTCCTCTCAGGTTCGACAGATGTGAGAAAAGGTGTGTCTATTGACCCAGATTAAGCTTCATGTGCATGCTTGAAAACGTCTTAGTTGGAATTTTTCTGAACATCCGATATGGAGAGTTGTCTTTAAATACCTGGGCTTCCCTGTTGACTCAAAGAATCTGCCTGGATGCGGGAGACCTGGGTTTGATTCCTGGGTCAGGAAGATTCCCTGGAGAAGGGAACCGGCAACGCACTCCAGTATCCTGGCCTGGAGAATTCCTTGGACTGTTTTATAGTCCATGGGGTCACAAAGAGTCAGACACGACTGAGCGACTTCCACTTTCTTTCTTTTAAATACTTGGCACCACGCTTTCTTCCGTGCCTCGCGGACGCTGCCCCTCACCCCCTCCGCCTGTCCAGGTAAGCCGTGGCGGGCGAAAGCCGGCAGGTCCAGGCCAGGACACCGCTGGCCAGGGCCTCTGCTTAGAACAAGCCCGCTTGCCCTGAGGTCAGTTTCTCTGCTAGACGCTGGCCTTCCTGGCCCCCAGAGGAGACGGGCTCGGGTGTCTGCAGAAGAGACACGCACGTGGCTCCCGCCCGTGCCAGGCGCCGCCAGGCTCCGCCCCTCCAGTGGCCCCGTGATCCTCTCAACCTTGAGCTCGGCGGGGGCTGTCATTGTTCCCGTTTCACAGACTGGAAAACTGAGACTCAGAGGTTTTGGTGACCCGGCTAAACTCCCGCTGTAGGAAAGTGGTGGAGCTCTGGTTCTGACTCAGCAGTGAGGCTCCGGGCCCACGCTTTCCAGTGTCAGAACCACGAGACAGCCGGAGATTCTGGACAACCTGTTTCTGCCCCCTTGTCCACGTGGGCCTGATGTCTTGGACTTGCAGTGACACGGGTTTCTCCCCAAATTGCTGGGCCTGTCAGGCTGGGTTTCTGATCCTGGTTACCGAGAGGATCCAGGGCAGGGGAGAGGACCCAGCTGGGGCCAGGTGAGGGTCGGGACGGGTGAGGCCTGCACACCTTCGAGCCCTGAGTCCGGGGGAGGGTCAGCTGCAGGTGCGGGAGACACTAGGGGGGGTCTTCTCAGCTCCCAGCCGAGGCGGCGGCTCTGACTCGGGGTGGAAAGTGCATGCACCGCGTGTGTACACCCACGGCAGGTGTGCGGGGGACCTGCTCCAGCCTCCGAGCACAGGCTCAGAGACACACAAGGTTGCACACACAACGCAGGGCACACCGCTGACCTGGAAAGCCCCCTGCTGGGAAGCTGCCCGAAGTGCGGCGTGCAGGGTGAGTGCCAAGACTGCTTCAAGGGATCCCTCTGCATGGCTCCTGATCACAGCGCTGGCGGCACTCGGGCCATGATGGGGCCGGGTGGGGGGGCGGGGTGGTTGTGCTTAGCCCTCGAGGGAAACAAGGACGCAGCTTGAGAACAGTCTTACGCAGCCGGTGCCCGCCTGGGTAAAGTGAGTCACAGCCAGCGAGGAAGCAGGTCCGGCGTAACCCGGGTGGGTTCTGAGTCCGGACGGCTGTGGGCTTGGGGGCCCCACGGGAAGTAAGTGATGCTGCGTGGTGGCAAAAAACAACGTGCTTTTGAAAATGATGATGAATTCTGCGCACACACACACCCTCCCCTGGGCAACCACGAGATGCGAAGGAAGATCAAAGTCATGACGTTGCCTTAAAGGCAGGCGGTCGGGGCAACCGTGACGTCCAGGGGGGCACAGAGCCCAGTGAGGAGGGTGGGGCCGCGGGAAGCCCCCGTGAGGAAGGTCCCCGCGGCATGGTGAGTGCGGACAAGACAGAACGATGTCTTTAGACCCCCAGCACACAGGCGCCCTCGTCTGGGGAGCGGCGGGTGTTGGGGACCAGGGTGGGTAAGGGAGACTCCTGCCGCCTGCCGACGGGTCCGCACCTGAGTCTGAGCATCATTCCTGCAAAACATAGAGGAAAAGGGGGTCCCCAGGTTTCCGGGCGGCACACGGTGGCAGGGACGTCCCAACACGTGCTCCCGCACCAGCTGCCACCCTCCCAGCCTGGCCCTGGGCTGGGCACCTGGCTCTCTGCCGCTGTGATCCCCTCTGGCTGAGCTTCAATTTTCTGCCAGGCTGGCCTGGCCGCTGCAGAGCCGCCTCTGATGGCACCCTGCACCGAAGGGCAGAGCAGTTAGGTAATTAGCCTGTTCCCAACGGGATTTGGAGCCTGGTGTTTCCTCGGGAGGGCGGGGGACAGACGGCAAGGCTGGTGACAGACTCGGAGATGACATTCAGCCCCGTGGCCCCGGGGGCACGGAGCCAGCAGGCCCCACACTGCTGTCCAGGCACGGGGACCCACAAGGACCTGGTTCTCTGGAGCCGCAGGACACAGCTGAGAAATACATGAGATGATCCCAGGATGAGATGATCCCAGGGTGAGACAGGAGGTCGGGAAAGGGAAGGACTGGGGAACACGGCCAGCGAAGGCAGTCAGCCTCGCCAAGGAGCTCACGTTCCTCCTGCAAAGCTGGGAGGGAATAGGCGGACACACAGCCTTCCCGACAGCACAGAGGGCAAGTGCAGAGGCCCTGAGGCTCACGCCGTCCTGGCCACGTTAGAGGTTAACACAGCCAAGGCAGGGAGTCTCGGGAGAGGCCGGCTGGCCTGCTGTGGCCCCTGAAGCTCAGGACAACCCCGCGGAAGGCGCCTAGACTGAAAGGGGCGGCTTCCCTGACAGAGCCGGTGGGGAGGGCACGCCTGTGAGTGAGGGGGCACTTCTAACAGAACCAAGCAGCCAGGGAACGCCCTCCTTGTCAGGTAGTGAGCTTCCTGTCCTGGGAGGTATTCAAAGGCTGGATAGCCCGCTGAGAGGATCTGACAGAAGGAACTCCTGTGCTGCGCAGGCGGTCTCCCAGCTGGTCTGGGGGCATCCTTGGGGGTGGCCCAGGTGGTAAACAACCCACCTGCCAATGCAGGAGACACAGGACCCTCAGGTTCCATCCCTGCTTGGGAAGATCCCCCGGAAAGGGGCATGGCAGCCCACTCTGTATTCTCGCCTGGAGAATCCCATGGACGGAGGAGCCTGGCGGGCTACGGTCCACGGGGTCAGAGAGTCAGACGTGACTTAGCATGCACACGTGTGCACACGCACTCTGCTGGGTATGGCTTCTTTCCCCCATTCCCTCGCAGCCACACACATGGATCTCAAAGCTTGACGTTGCTGAGAAGACACCTCACAGGGCTTCAGAGCTGCCAGGATTTGAAGCCCTCCCCTCCCTGGGCCTGACCGCCACTCCCCAGACAGGCACTGGTCCCTTGCTGCCTTAGCGGTTCTGTGTGGTCCCCTGGGCCTCTGAGGCAGAGACTCTGTACCGGCTCCCAGGTGGGTTCTGCTTGCACGTCACAGAAACGGACCCCAGCTCCCCCAGGGCAACCTCGTCATTTGCGGGCCCGGCTGTGTCTCCAGGTCCAGTGTCGGTGTGGGCTGCAGGGTCAGGGCCAGACCCTGCTGGACAGACAGCGTCCCATCCCTGGGCTCCGGCCAGGCGCTCCCCGCAGCGCCATGGCCGGGACCTTGTTCCCATGCGTCCCCGCGCAGAGCAGCTCTGGGTCCTTCATCTCGGCTCCCCGGGTCATGTGACAGCGTGGGCGTCTGTCACGCAGGTTCAAGGCCTTTGAGTTTCCTTTCTGAAAAACCGTCTATTGATGTTTTCTCTCCACTTTTACTGGGTTGCCTCTTCTTGATTTATAGGAGCTCGTCATATGCTGATTAAATGAGACCAGACTATGGCCCATAGTCTACTACATATCCTTCTACATAAAACATCTACCTCTGCTTCACTGACCACGCCAAAGCCTTTGACCGTGTGGTTCACAACAAACGGGAAAATTCTTCAAGAGATGGGAATATCAGACCACCTGACCTGCCTCTTGAGAAATCTGTATGCAGGTCAGGAAGCAACAATTAGAAAAACAGACTGGTTCCAAATCAGGGAAGGAGCATGTCAAGGCTGTATATTGTCACCCTGCTTATTTAACTTATATGCAAAGTACATCATGAGAAACACTGGGCTGGACGAAGCACAAGCTGGAATCAAGATTGCCGGGAGAAATCTCAATAACCTCAGATGTGCAGATGACACCACCTTAAGGCAGAAAGTGAAGACGAACTAAAGAGCCTCTTGATGGAAGTGAAAGAGAGGAGTGAAAAAGTTGACTTAAAACTCAACATTCAAAAAACTAAGATTATGGCATCTGGTCCCATCACTTCATGGCAAATAGATGGGGAAACAGTGGAAACAGTGGCTGACTTTATTTTTTGGGGCTCCAAAATCACTGCAGATGGTGACTACAGCCATGAAATTAAAAGATGCTTGCTCCTTGGAAGAAAAGCTATGAGCAACCTAGACAGCATATTAAAAAGCAGAGACATTGCTTTGCCGACAATGGTCCATCTAGTCAAGGCTATGGTTTTTCCAGTAGTCATGTATGGATGTGAGAGTTGGACTATAAAGAAAGCTGAGCACCGAAGAATTGATGCTTTTGAAATGTGGTGTTGGAGAAAACTCTTGAGAGTCCCTTGGACTGCAAGGAGATCCAGCCAGTCCATCCTAAAGGAGGTCAGTCCTGGGTGTTCATTGGAAGGACTGATGCTGAAGCTGAAACTCCAATACTTTGGCCACCTGATGCAAAGAGCTGACTCATCTGAAAAGACCCTGATGCTGGGAAAGATTGAGGGCAGGAGGAGAAGGGGACGACAGAGGATGAGATGGTTGGATGGCATCACCGACTTAATGGACATGATTTTGAGTAAACTGCGAGAGTTGGTGATGGACAGAGGGGCCTGGCGTGCTGCAGTCCATGGGGTCACAAAGAGTCGGACATGACTGAGCGACTGAACTGAACTGACTGATGGCCTGTAGGCTCAATCAGGCCTGCTGACTTGCTATTTTTTTTAATCAACAAAATCCCCTCGGGGCACACAGCCAGGCTCCCTGTCTGTGGCTGTTGCAGTTACCGCAGGAAAGCTGACGGGGCCTACGGCCTGGGAGCTGGAGGCGTGTACTATGCGGACAGCGCGTCTGCTGACCCTGGGATTAGACTTCTGTCATGTGAACTGCGAACGCTTCCCCCAGTTTATCATTCATCTTTTGACTGTTTTTTTTCCCCTTTTAAGTGCTTTTAAAATTTTTAGTCGTCCGGATGTGTTTTAATAGTGCTCAAAGCTGCTTGACTTTGGAGGGTCCTTGCTTCTCAAAATCCAGAATCTTTACACACCAGACTCTGAAGTTCAAGGTCACTGTTTTGCTCCAGAGTCAAGAGGAAATGAATGAAAAAAGGCAGATTTGGAGGAACACCGTCTAGAAACTGCAGGAGAATTTAGCACTTGCACTCCACCTTCTGGGCGTTTACCGGTCTGAGAGCTGACAACTCTAAGGCAGGTTAGGGGGTACCGAGACCCCGACACCTGAGTAAACTGTTGCTCAGGTGCCGTGCAGCCCGCAGGCCTGCGGGGACAGCCCCGCCACCCCCACTGAGCGACCCTGGCTCGTCCCGCAGTGAAAGAACGAGACCCAGGGGCGGAGGGGCTGTCCGGAGTGACAGCGAGAGCCACCGCTTCGCGCTCCGCCTTGCAAACCGCGCCGGAGCCGGTCGGTCCGCGCCCACCCCCGCCCCCCGCGCAGCGGCCCCAGCAGCGCAGGCGCTGCGATGCCCAGCGCGGCCGGCAGGGGCGGCGTTGCACCGGCTGGGCGCTCGCTCCTCAGCGGCTGCGGCCCCCGGTCCCGGCGCCCCAGCTGCGTCGCCACCCCGCACCCCACCTGTATCCCAGCCGCCCGCACGGGCCATCCCAGCCCGGCCCCCACCTGTATCCCGGCCCGGTCCCGGCCCCGCGAACCCAGCCAGATCTTCCCGCCTGTATCCCAACCGCCCCCGCCGGCCATCCCAGCCCGGCACGTCGACCGGCAATCCCAGCTCGCCCCCCACACCCGCGATCCCAGCCCATCCCAGCCCACTCCCCCCCATTCCAGCCCACATCCCCACCTTGCCGGGGCCCCCAGCCTGACCCGCCCCGCCCACCTCGTGGCCCCGCCCCACGGCCCCCGCCCCCAGGCCCTCCCACCGGCTTCAGTGCTGGGGGCTGTGGGCGTGGAGTCAGACCCAGGGTCGGGAGCGGGGGCCGGCCGCCGGCCTAGCAGGAAAGTGGACAGCCCGCCACCCGAGCGCCCTTGGGATCCCTCCCCCGGGGGAGGGGGCCTTCCTGTCACCTGAAAATAGAAGCCCGCCCGCTCCGCTGGCCCACCTCCAGAGGCCCTGGCCGCGGGCATCACCTCCTCGGCCCTGGGATGGCCGGTGGGGGCCGGGCTGGGATACAGGTTGGGGGGCCGTGCCCCAGCCCCAAGGCCCCCGCGCTTGCGGCACCTCCCCGCCCCACGCCTAGGACAGCCCCCCACCTCCCCAGGACGCTCCCTCGCCAGATATGGAGCAGCCCCCATTCCGAGCTATGTGTTTCCTGCCCACCCTGGTGCACGTACTTGGAGACTGTGGGGGCGGCCCCGCACCCCCACCCAGTCTGTCTCCCCTGCTGCCCACTCTCCGTAGTGACCACAGCAAGGGCTCCGGAGCCCAGGAGTGAAGGCAACCTCGGTCTGGACTCTGCCGCGCAGGCAGGGCAACCCCCGCTGGGGGCCTGGCGCTGGGCCTTCTCTGGAAGCTGGCCTCCACGCCAGGGTGTGGGACGCTGGCTGTGATGGACACGGGCCTGAGCCCTGGGGGAGGGGACCCAGGTCAGCTGGGGACGGGCCGCTGCTGCTCACGCTTACTGAGCCACACGCAGGCCCCTCACGGCCCCAGGACAAGCCAGGCCTGCCTTGCCCGGGGCTGTGCAACTGTGCCTGCTTTGCTTGGCCACTGGCCCATCCCCGGGCTCCCCATCCACCCCCTCTGGCTTCCTCTGGGTCTCTGCCCCCGAGTCTCAGTGACTCCGACCCTGACCACATCCGCCACGCTCCACCTTCACCTTGTGGCTTTATGTTTTTGCCGCACAGGATGGTGCCTGGGGCCCAGCTGGTGCTCAGCAGATACCGTCAGGGGGTGAATACGTTGTGAGTCCCTCCTGCGGGCATGTGGAGCTACTGCAGAGCGGGAGCCCGTCCCCAGGCTCCCCTGATGGCAGCCAAGCCGTCGGAGTGCTTTCCCCGGGCGTGGGAAGGGGAGGCTGTGCCGCGGTGCCCGGCTGTGACGGCGCCCTTGGGGACAGCGCTGTCCCTGGTGCAGGACGGGCCTGTCACGATATGTGTCTCACAGGCCTCAGCTAAGCCGGGCTGCAAACACGGCGCTGCCAAGGGGGACCGCCGGTTCTCACGGTGCCAGGGGCACACCACCGGTTTCCAGCGTCTGCCTGGCTGCCCCCGGGGTGCGGAGAGCGACCTTGCAGCCCTGCCTCCATGTACTCCCTGCCCGCCCACCCCTGCTCCGGTACTGTCTGCTCTAGCCTGGACCCCCACGGCCTGAAGCCAGCCCAGAACACTCTGCTTTTGAAGGCCTCTCGGGGATGTCCCGCCAGCCAGCACCCCCACCCTGGGGTGGCCGCACACCTCCTGGCCCCTGGAACAGGACACGTGTGGGGAGGGCCCCTCTGAACGGGGCTCCCCCAGGTCTGGGAGCCGGGAAGCTCGAAGCCGGCGGTTTGCTCATCTCAACATCTCTTTCTTGTCCGTCTGCCTGTGTGTCCGTCTGTCTGGGCAGACCCTGTGGCTGGTCTCTGGACACAGACTCGGGCGTTCGGGAATCCCGCTTCCTGGGTAAGGCCAGCCCTGCCCACCCAGCTGGCCAGCCGGTCCTGCCTGCTGCCCCTGCCTCCTCTCTTGACACCCCCCACCCCGCTCTGCCCCGACCCCACCCGGAACCAGTCCCCAGCCTGGGGCTACTTCCCCTCCTCGCATTCCCGCAGCTCAGAGAGTCTGAAACACACAATTTAGCACTTAATTATACACTCTGCTCACTAATTATTTTGTGCCTTATCTCCGTGGCTCGCATGAGCTCCAGGAGGCAGATCGCACTCCTGGGATCCGGCCTCTGTGAGGCGTGTGCCTCCTGCCCCCTAGGGGCTGGGAAGGGGGCCCTCGACGGTAGCCTGGAGCCCACAGTGCCCCAGGGCTGGGCCTGGACAAGGAGAGGCAGCCCGTCTGCTCCCTCTGCACGTGTTTGCCCAGCCCCCGGCACACTCTCCTGGGACCCAGGTATCCAGCACCCCCTGGACCGCAGCGCCGCCCCACCTTGCCCCACAGGGCTGCCCCACCTTGCCCCGGACACGCACGGAGCCGCCCTGCTGGCCCCGCAGCCCCGCCTGGGCCCACCACCCTCTCGCTGGACAGTGGAGACCCGCGGACCCCCCACAGGCCACCCTCCACCCGTGGCCGAGGAAGGGGGACATCCCTCCACCCCGTCCCCCTGACGGGGACAGACGTCACTGTCTCTCCAGGCTCTGGGCAGAGGTGGGGGTGCGGGGGCGCATGTGGGGGTGTTCACCCCTGAGGCTGGACCGGGGAAAGGCCTGTGGGGTCTGGGGAAAGACTTGGGCTCCACAGGGTCCCACTGACCACGCCCAGGGCAGGCATGTCCACCACCCTGAACCCCTGAGGTCCGTCCTCCCTGGGGGTCCCAAGGCCAGGGCACCTGGGAACCCATGTGGGGGAGCAGCTGGGGAGCACGTGTGGCTGGCCAGGCAGTGCTCGTCCTGCGGGGCACACCCCGACCCCCGACTTTCCGCTGCTCACGCAGGCCCATCTGTCTGCCCATCCTCCTCTGTTCTGTCCTCTCCTGCCCTGGCCCATCGCCTGGACACTCGGCTCTGGTCTCCCAGGGGATCCCGCTGACTGCTGCCCTCTGCAGACGCCCCTTTGTCTTTGAGAGAAGGTCCCTGCCCACAGTCAGGGTCCTCACTGACCACTCTTCAGGCCCCTCCGGCGCAGTCCTGGGACACCTTCCACCGTGGAGACCCAGCCATGGCCCGGTCCAGGCGGGCCCGACCTCCGCCAGCGCTCCGGGGCCCAGGCACCCTGACCGAGAGATGAGGGGCCACCTTGGGTCTTGCATAAACTCCCGGCCGGAGGCCTGCTGGGGCTGCGCGGCAGTTAGAACAGAGGTACACCCCTGGGTTGCCGAGGCCTGGCCCGTTCCCAGGTCCCCCGGCGCCCGGCCAGCCCTGTCCCGGGACCTCTGCCACACACACGTGCCCACTCCCAACTGAGCATTCACCTGGGCAGGACACATGGGCCGCCTTCCTCACTGCGGGGGCCCAGGCACCCAGTCGGTGTTCGTGTAAGCGGGGCGGGGGGCGGTGAGGCTGGGCCAGGGTCTCCACTGCTGAGGGTTCGCAGGGGGCAGGCACCCTGCGCTGGGGCAGAGGGTGGCCCTGCGGGTGGATGCGATGTGAGATCGGGGCAGCCTGGACAGGGCTGGTGGCCGCCTCTCTGGGTGCGCCTTCTGCCTCAGCCCCGGGCCAGGCAGCGTGGAAGCCCCCTTCACCCACCCCCACCCCCAGGTGCGTGTGTGTGAGCAGCTCCGGGCGCCTGGTCTGCCCCGGGTGTGTCTGTGCGAAGCCTACCTGCTGGTGGCGGCAGCCCCGTGACCATCTGCACCGTGTGCGGGGTGTGTGTGTATGTGTGTGTGCGTGAACATGATTGCTTTGTTTTGATGGGTATGGGTGTGATTCTGGAGGGCTGTCTGAGAGGATCTGGGGTGTGGGGGTGTCCCCAGTGCCTGCAGGGCTGTGTGAGGGTGGTTCGTGAGCTCTGCTTGTGTCTGAATGGTCAGGGGGTCCCTGTCACAGGGCCCAGCGGCCCTGGCCTGCTCCCCACTGCCCCCCGCCACCCAGTTCCCATCACGCAGCAGCGGAAGGTCTCATCAGCTTGGTGGGTGAGACGGGGGCCGTGCTAGAGATGTGCGGGGGTGAGGGGAGTGGACGGGGAGGGGGCATGGTCTCCACTTGACAGAGCCCCCACCCCCTGCCTCGGGGGCAGGCAAGGGCTGGATTCGTGGATGCCCACCCTGCTCCCAGCCCAGCTCCCACCCACGCAGGAGGCTCAGTGCTGGGGGTGGCATGAGGACATGACGGGTGCATGTTGGGGGGTGAATGGGGGTGAATGCTGGGGCTCCATGCTGCCCCGAGCACCGTTGGTGAGAGGGCGCTCCTCCCAGGCTGGGCGAGGGGCTCTGGGCAGGAGCTGGGGGGTTTGGGGGTAGGACCCTCAGATCTGAGCCCCCAGGGTGTGGCTCCCTTCCCAGAAGCGGGACAGGCTGACGACGGAGAAACAGCGACTGTTCACTGTCCCTAACCCAAGCACAAACCTCTGGGCTCTCCTGATCGCTCCTCTGAGAACACACTTGGATGGAAAGTGAAGAAAACCGCTTTTTCAATTTCATCTGAAATAAACACATTGGGAAAGACCCTGACGCTGGGAAAGACGGAAGGCAAAAGGAGAAGAGGGATGCATGGTTGGATGGCATCGCTGACAACGGACGCGAACCTGGGCGAAGTCCGGGAGATGCTGAGGGACCGGGAAGCCTGGCGTGCGTGGCGTCGCAAGGAGCCGGGCATGACTTAGTGACTCAACAGCAGCAGGAACAAAGGTGGGTTTAGAGGAAGCGGCACCAGGAATGTAAAGCGGGCCCCGGCCACCTCCGCGTTCCTTCCCGGCCTCCCCGTGGCAGCACCTCCTGGGACTGCCGAGGCTGTGTGCTGCGACGCGGGCCGCAGTCTGCCGTCCCTTGTCAGGTGACGATGCGTGTCACCAGCACGCGGTCAAGATACAGAACCGTCCCCATCGCAGAGACCGCTCCCTCCCCCGCCACTCCCAGCCCCCGCCACCGCTGACCCAGGAGTCATCTCACAGCTTCCTCACTTCAAGGCTTTCCTACAAGATTTCCCTGGCGGTCCCGTGGTTAGGACTCGGAGCTTCCACTGCAGGGGGCTCAGGTTCCATCCCTGGGGTGGGGGGAGCACCCCACAAGCTGCGGCCCTAAAAACGGGGGGTTTCTTGTAAGTGGGATCCATAGTGGGTGACCTTCTCGATCAGCACAATGCCCTTGAGACCCGCTCGAGCTGGTGCTGGGACACAGGCTGCTGAGACTGTCGCCTGGACCGGATGGCAGGGTCGTTTGCAGTTTTTGACTATTATAAACACCTGCTACAAACAGCTGCCTGCAGGGCTTGGTGTGGACGGGAGATACCGCTTCTCCGGCGTGACTGCCCAGGAACACGAGCGCCGGGGGCACGATGAGCGTCTGGCTGAAGCAACTGCCTGTTTGCCGCAGCACGTGAGCCTTCCTGTGCTTCTGCATCCTCACCAGCGCCGCGTGTGGTCGCTTCCTCAGTTCTCTGACCTTCAGCTGTGCCCTTAGAGTGCATGAGTTTCCAGTAGATGGCACATACCTGGGCTATTTTCCCCACGCGGTCCGCCTCTTTTAATCGATGTACTAGACTGTTTAGATTTAAGCTAATTATTGACATGTTAGGTTTAAGTCTGCTGTTTCATTTTCTTGTCTTTTTGTTCCCTCTGTCCTTAATCTGTTTTCTTTTTCCTGTCTTCTTGTGTGCCACTTGAACCTTTAAGAGATGTGGGCTTCCTCGGTGGCACAGTGGTAAAGAATCTGCCTGCCAGCGCAGGAGACACGGGTGTGATCCCTGGTCCGAAAGATCCCACATGCCGTGGGGCAGCTCAGCCTGGGAGCCACAGCTACTGAGCCCACGAGTCGCAAGCTGAAGCCTGAGAGCCCGCGCTCCACAGCAAGAGAGAGGCCCCCACCTGCCACAACCAGGGAAAAGCCCAAGCCGCAACGAAGACTCAGCGCGGCCAAAAGTAACGAACGGAATAAAAACTATCTTAAAATTGCTTTGATTTATATACAGTGTCTTTGATTGCATCTCTCCATATTTCAGTGGTGCTCTAGGTGTACATCATAATTACATAACATCACAGTTTGTCGATTTGACTTTTATCAGTTGGAGTGAAGTATAGCAACATGAGTCCCTCTGTGTCCACGCCCCATCCATACGTAATTGTCTTAAACACTGCCTCTGCATACACTGGGAATCACGTCAGATAGTGGTACAGTTTTTGCCTCAATTGTCAAACAAAATTTTGCAGATTCAAGAGGAGGTGAAGTCTGTTGTGTTTACCTGTATTTTTGTTCACTTTGTGTTCTTTCTCAAAGTGCCAAGATTCCTGCTTTTGACATTTTCTTTTTGTTTAGGGAACTTCCTGAAATAATTCCTTTAGGGAAGGTCTGATGACGATGGTGACAAATTCTCTCCGTTTTCTTTCTTCTGAGAATGTCTTGATTTCTTTTTCATTCCTGAAGGATATTGCCAGCGGATATAAGATTCCAGGCTGACATTTCTTTCAGTGCTTGAAAAATGTGTGCCATTTCCTGCTGGTCTCCATGGCTTCTGATGAGAAATCTGCTGTCAATCAAATTGTTTCTCTTATACCTGAGATGCCATTTCTCTTACTTACTGCTTTTAAGACTTTGTCTTTAGCTTTCAGAAGTTTTAACATGCTGTATATCTCAGCATGGATTTCTTTTGGTTAATCCTTTTAGGGTATTTCTCAGCTTCCTAAATCTGTAGATTCCGGTCTTTTGCCAAATTTGAGAAGCTTTTCTCTGAAAACTTTTCCAGTCCCGCTCTCATCTTTTTTTTTTTTTTTTCTTCCTGGGATTCTGATCACTCAAATGTTAGATCCTCTTCCTTTAAAACATAAAAAAGTTTCTTAGGTCCTTTAGGGTGGCTCAGATGGTAAAGCATCTGCCTGCAATGCAGGAGACGTGAGTTTGATCTCTGGGTCGGGAAGACCCCCTGGAGGAGGAAATGGCAACCCATTCCAGTAGTCTTTCCTGGAGAGTCCCATGGACGGAGGAGCCTGGTGGGCTACAGTCCATGGGGTCACAAAGAGGGCCCGCTCATTTTTTTGTCTATTTTTTCTTTCTCGCTCAGACTGAGTAATTTTCACTGTCTCATCTGTAAGGTCACTTAATCAGCCCTCTGTCCCCTCTGCTTCAGCCCTGGGCCCATTTGTTGAGTTTCACATTTTGGTTACTGTATTTTCCAGTTCCAAAATCTCCATTCGGTCCTTCTTTAAGCTTCTCTTTCTTTTCAGAGACTTTCCACGTTCCCATTTGTTTCAGTCGTCTTCATTGCTGAAGGAGTTTCGTAACAGCCGCCTGAGCAGGGCTATGTCCACTGTGATTGGCTTCTCTGGATCGCGGTTTCTCACTCAGCTTGAGATCTTCCTGGATCTTGGTATGAAGAGTGATTTGCAACGGAAGCCTGGACTTTGGGGGACACGGGGTATGAGATTCTGGGTCTCATTTAAACCTCCATCTCAGCTGGCATCCTCTGACGCTGTTCTGGTGGGGGTGGGGGTACAGGTTGCCCAGTAACCCTCCTCCGAT